TCAGAGCACTGAGAAACCGTTTAAAGTCACACGCAGTTTGAGTAAAGGTGTTAAGTCATGTTCAGCTGCAGACATAAGAAAGTTTTTGAGAGACACTAAAGGGATGAGGAGTGTAAAGGTAGAAAACTATTTTCCTAACCTGAAGCTTTTCTCTGAGACGGCCCGGCCCCTGGTGTGGAGCTCCAGCTCTCAGGTTGAGGACGCTCTCACAGACCAGGAGAGATTCAGGCTTAAGAAACTCCTGAGCAAAGTCAGGGCCCAAGTGGCCAGTGAGGGTCCTAACTGATCTCAGTATCCCACTTTGTTAGTGTTTTTTCAATTTTTTTCCTTATGTGTGACTTTAAAATAGGCAGTTTAAATATTAATGGTTGCCGGGACAGAGCGAAGCGAGCTGCTCTGTTCCAGTTCTTGCAGATGAAAGGAGTAGATGTGGTGCTCCTACAGGAGACACACAGTACTGCAGAGATAGAGTCAGACTGGAGGAGGGAGGTGGGGGGCCAGCTGGTCCTCAGCCATGGCTCCGCCTCCAGTGCAGGAGTAGCAGTGTTGTTCTCCAGGAGGTGTCTTCCAGTGAGTGTAGAGACTGAGGAGGTGGTAGCGGGCCGCCTGCTCCTGGTACGTGCACAGTTGGAGACCACTACAGTAACATTTGTGTGTGTGTACCTGCCGTGCACCGGAGCACAGAGGGTCCTGATGATGGACACTCTGTGTGAATGCATCAGGGACTGCACAGACTCTGGGGACGTCCTGTTCGTGGCCGGGGACTGGAACTGTACTGTGGAACCACAACATGACAGGAATCACCCTGAGCCCCACCCGGCCTCCTCCCTCAGGCTGAGGCGGCTGTTGGAGGTCCACAGTCTGGAGGACGTGTGGAGGACTCTGCACCCAGGCGTCCGTGAGTACACGTGGTCCCACTGTAAGGACAATGCTCTGTCTCTGGCTCGTTTGGACCGAGTGTATGTTCCGGGACACCAGCTGAGCATGTGCACTGCGGCTCACTTCAGTCCTGTGGGCATCTCTGACCACAGTTTTATTGTTTGTGTAATTCGAGTGTCTAATGTGCGGGTGGGCAGTGCTTACTGGCACTTTAATAATTCACTGCTTTTGGATAAAATGTTTGTTTGTGCTTTTAAAGTGTTTTGGGAGTCCCACCAGCGATGTAAGGCCCACTTTGTGAGCCTGCAGCGATGGTGGGACTATGGGAAAGTGCAGATAAGGCAGCTGTGTCAGGAGTACACTCATGGTGTCACAAGAGACAGGGCCCGGCTTGTGAAGGAGCTGGAGACTACAGTGGTAGAACTGCAGCGTTTAGCAGTTTCTACAGGAGAACGGGGGTGTTTACAGTCCCTCAAAGCACAAAAGTCGGCCTTGGCCAGCCTGCTGGGCTCCTCTGCACAGGGGGCTCTGGTCCGGTCCCGCCACATGGATCTGACCCTGATGGATGTACCCTCTCAGTTCTTCTTCAGTCTGGAGGTAAAGAACGGGCAGAAGAGGATCATCCAGTCTCTGCGCTCGGACGGCGGTCGCCTCATCACAGACTCTGCCGAGGTCAGGAGCTTTGCCGCAGGCTTTTATGAACATTTGTTTAGCTCGGAGCTGCGTCCCGGGTCTGTTATGGGAGGCCGGTTTGGGGACGGTCTGCCTCAGGTCAGTGATGAGGACAATAAGAAACTGGAGGCCCCACTGACTCTGGCTGAACTGGGCTCTGCGGTGGGGAGTCTAAAACCAGGCAGAGCTCCGGGCATAGACGGACTTTCGGCCGATTTTTACAAGGCCTTCTGGGACGTCTTGGGGCCAGACCTTCTGGAGGTCTTTATGGACAGTCTGGAGAGCGGTCGTTTGCCCCTGAGCTGCAGAAGAGCAGTACTGACTTTGCTCCCAAAGAAGGGTGATCTGCAGCTCCTAAAGAACTGGAGGCCGGTGTCGCTGCTCTGCATGGACTACAAGATCCTGTCCAAGGTGTTGGCGTCCCGGCTGAGAGGGGTCATGGCCTCGGTCATCCACGTGGACCAGACGTACTGTGTGCCCAGCAGGCTCATAGGGGATAACATCACCCTGATCAGAGACGTTTTGGAGGTCTCCGGCTCATTGGGAATCAACCTGGGACTGATTTCCATAGACCAGGAAAAGGCGTTTGACCGGGTTGAACACCAGTACCTCTGGCAGACCATGACTGCCTTTGGGTTCAGCTCTGGGTTCATCGCCCACATCCAGACTCTGTATTGTGACGTCATGAGTGTACTGAAGGTGAATGGGGGGCTCAGTGCTCCGTTCAGTGTGGGGAGGGGCATCAGGCAGGGCTGCTCTCTGTCTGGGATGCTCTACTCCCTCTCCATCGAGCCCCTTCTGCATCGGCTCAGAGCTGACCTGCAGGGGGTGCTGCTGCCTGGAGCACGACCATTTAAGGTCTCTGCGTACGCAGATGATCTTATTGTGTTCGTTAACAGCCAGAGGGATGTGGAGGTCCTGGCTGACACGGTGCAGGTCTTTGGTCAGGTCTCCAGCTCCAGGGTGAACTGGAGCAAGAGCTCGGCCACTCTGCTCGGGGAGGGTCTGAGGGGTCTCAGCCTGCCTGGAGGACTGGTGTGGAGGACGGGGGGCTTTAAACACCTGGGGGTGTTCGTCGGCCCTGGTCATGTCCGGAGGAACTGGGAACAGTCTCTGGAGCAAGTTAAAGGGCGGTTGAGTAAATGGAGGTGGCTGTTGCCTAAAATGTCGTACAGAGGGAGGGTCCTCGTTGCCAACAACCTGGTGTCCTCTGCTCTGTGGCACAAGCTGCAGAGCACAGACCCACCTCCCTCTTTACTCTCACAGATCCAGAGACTGATCTCAGATTTCTTCTGGGACAAGCTGCACTGGGTCCCCCAGGCAGTGCTGTTTCTGCCGAAGGAGCAGGGAGGCCAAGGTCTGGTCCATCTGGCCAGCCGAGGAGCTGCTTTTAGGCTACAGTTTCTCCAGAGACTGGTAGCTGGGCCAGAGGAGCTGCTGTGGAGACCGTTGGCAGTCTCCATCCTGCAGAGGGCGGGGGGACTGGGGCTCCCAGGGTTCCTTAGTGACCACACACCAGCTGGACTCCCGTCCTTCTACTGTGGGCTGTTCTCGGTGTGGAGCAGAGTGAAGAGGCAGAGGCAGAGCTCCTCTCTGCACTGGCTCCTACAGCGGCCCCTGGAGTTTCCTGCCTGGGCGGGGCCTGTGCTGCGGGGCCGTTTCAGTTTGGGGGGGGTAGTCTCGGTGCAGCAGCTCCACAATGTCAGTGGTCCTCAGCTGGAGGACTGGGAGGCACTGGGAGTCCACCTGGGCCTGAGGCCGGGTCGGACCCTGGAGCGTCTCCTGTGTTTCTGGAGAGAGGGTCTGACAGAGGAGGACTGGACTCTGTTAGAGGGACACAGTTCAGGCTCACTGACCCCTGACCCCACTGATCCCTTCCCCAGTCTCATCCTCAGCCCGGACCTGGGCTCCTCCTCTGGGCCCCTGCTGGCCAGTCCAGTAGCTGCCTCTCTGGAGGCTGCTTCAGGGAAGACTTTTTACAGCCTCATGGTCCAGGCCTTGAACCACCAGAGACTGTGTGACCGAGCAGACACTGTGTGGAGGTCACACCTGGGCCCCGCCTTCAGCCCGGCCTGGGGGGCCCTGTACAAGCCCCCTCTGACCAAGAAACAGGGGGACCTGCAGTGGAGGCTGCTGCATGGGGCAATAGCAGTCAATGCCTTTGTGTGTAGGGTGAACAGGGCTGTGGGGGAGGGCTGTCCCTTCTGTGGGGAGAGGGAGACAGTGTTCCACTGCTTCTGGGAGTGTGGGAGGCTCAGGCACATGCTGGAGCTGCTGAGGGGCCTCTTCACTTCACTGGGGGCAGAGTTTAATGCTCAGGTGTTTGTGGGGGGGTCAGGTACTCCAGCCGCAGCAGGAGGAGGTGGCGGCTGCTCAGTTTCCTCGTTGGTCAGGCCAAGATGGCCGTCTATGTGAGCAGGAGGAGGATGGTCCAGGACCAGAGTGAGATCAGTCCCAGGGCTCTGCTGGTCCGGATGGTCCAGGCCAGACTCAGGCTGGAGTTTGGTCTCTACAGGATAAATGGGGATCAGGAGGGGTTTGAGGAGCGCTGGGGGTTCAGGGAGGTGTGCTCTGTGAGGGAGGTGTCCTCTGTGAGGGAGGTGTGCTCTGTGAGGGAGGTGTGCTCTGTGAGGGAGGTGTGCTCTGTGAGGGAGGTGTGCTCTGTGAGGGAGGTGTCCTCTGTGAGGGAGGTGTGCTCTGTGAGGGAGGTGTGCTCTGTGAGGGAGGTGTGCTCTGTGAGGGAGGGGGAGCTGTTTTTTTCTGCCTTTTTATCGTTGTAAACCTATGAATTGAATTGTGTGGTATATATTGCATTGTTTATTTATTGCAGTACTTGCACTTTTTGCACTTTTATGTCCGGATTTTTAAACTATGTTTTTTCTATACATTACTATGTGTAATATGTAATGTCATTTGACCTGTTTAATGGACAAATAAAGGTCTGTTAAAAAAAAATCTCATCTCTCTCCTCTCTCTCCTCTCTCTCTGTCTCCTCTCTCTCCTCTCTCTCCTCTGTCTCCTGTCTCCTCTGTCTCCTCTCTCTCTGTCTCCTCTCTCTCCTCTCTCTCCTCTCTCTCTGTCTCCTCTCTCTCTCTCTCTCCTCTGTCTCCTCTCTCTCCTCTGTCTCCTCTCTCTCCTCTCTCTCTGTCTCCTCTCTCTCCTCTCTCCTCTCTCTCCTGTCTCCTCTCTCTCCTGTCTCCTCTCTCTCCTGTCTCCTCTCTCCCCTCTCTCTCCTGTCTCCTCTCTCCCCTCTCTCTCCTCTCTGTCCTCTCTCTCCTCTCTCTCCTCTCTCTCCTCTCTCCCCTCTCTCTCTCCTGTCTCCTCTCTCCCTCTCTCTCTCCTCTCTGTCCTCTCTCTCCTGTCTCCTCTCCTCTCTCTCTGTCTCCTCTCTCTCCTCTCCTCTCTCTGTCTCCTCTCTCTCCTCTGTCTCTCTCTCTCTCCTCTCCTCTCTCTCTGTCTCCTCTCTCTCTCTCTCTCTCTCTCTCTGTCTCCTCTCTCTCCTGTCTCCTGTCTCATCTGTCTCCTCTCCTCTCTCCTCTGTCTCTTCTCTCTCCTCTCTCTTCTGTCTCCTCTCTCCTCTCTCTCCTATGTCTCATATCTCTCTCCTCTGTCTCCTCTCCTCTGTCTCTCTCTCTCTCTCTCTCTCTCTCTCTCTCTCTGTCTCCTCTCTCTCTCTCTCTCTCCTCTGTCTCTCTCTCTCTCTCTCTCTCTCTCTCTGTCTCCTCTCTCTCCTCTCTCTCTCTCTCTGTCTCCTCTCTCTCCTGTCTCCTGTCTCATCTGTCTCCTCTCCTCTCTCCTCTGTCTCTTCTCTCTCTCTCTCTCTCTTCTGTCTCCTCTCTCCTCTCTCTCCTATGTCTCATATCTCTCTCCTCTGTCTCCTCTCCTCTGTCTCCTCTCCTCTGTCTCCTCTCTCTCCTCTCTCTTCTGTCTCCTCTCTCTCCTCTCTCCTCTGTCTCCTCTCTCTCCTCTCTCCTCTGTCTCCTCTGTCTCCTCTCTCTCCTCTGTCTCCTCTCTCTCCTCTCTCCTCTGTCTCCTCTGTCTCCTCTCTCTCCTCTGTCTCCTCTCCTCTCTCTCCTCTGTCTCCTCTCCTCTGTCTCCTCTCCTCTCTCTCCTCTTGTCTCCTCTCTTCTGTCTCCTGTCTTTTAAAACTCACTGCTCTGACTTTTACTCTAATAAGATTATGAAGTGTTATCTTAAAACTAGTAAAATAATCTTATTATGACAAACTACATTCAACCAACAAACTACCATTAGAAAGATGAGGTTGAGTGGCTGAGTGGTTAGCACCCTCGCTTCTCAGTATGAAGGTTCTGGGTTCGAATCCCGGTCGGAACAGGGCCTTTCTGAGTGGAGTTTGCCTGTGTCTGTGAAGGTTTCCTCCGGCTAAGAATATGTGCAATAGCTCAGGAGGAATGAGTGCGAATGAGAGACAAAGGACGCAAATTAGCCCAACACTGTAACCCGGAGTGATGTGTTCATGAACATGTACTGCCCCAAACAAATAAATAAGCATAGTTTGTTATTTTTAGGAATAAAGTCTTACCAAGGTTTGACATTTTTCAGTCTAATGTACAGTCTTCATACCAAGACACCTCGTCCCTCTCCTCTTGATAGTCCGTGTTTGACCCAAAGCTTTGAAATTACTTTAAAATGTCCAAATGTCCCGTGAAAGGTCAGAGGTAAGGACAAGGAGCGAGGTTTTCAGAATTGGGATGCAACCTTTTATCCAATTAGTTTTTAATCCCAAGGTCACACACGCACACAGGCACATACACGCAAACATACATACACACAGGCACACAAACATACATACACACGCACACAGGCACATACACGCACACACACATATACACACAGGCACGCAAACATACATACACACAAACACACGCACACAGGCACATACACGCACACACACATATACACACAGGCACGCAAACATACATACACACACTCACAAACACAGGCACACACTCACATACAATCACGCACACACACTCACATACAATCACGCACACACACTCACATACAATCACGCACACACACCCACATACAATCACGCACACACACCCACATACAATCACGCACACACACCCACATGCAATCACGCACACACGCACACACACACACACAGCTGCACCCAAGTCTCAGAGCACCAGTCGCTCTGATCCTCTGCAGGGGGTGGGTCCACAGGAAGATGGCTTCTCCGTCATCAATGAGACGGCCTTGATCTTTCAGTGGGGGCTTCAGGCAATGTGGGGTTAAGTGTCTTGCCCAAGGACACAACGACAGCAGACATCAGTGGGAGCAGTTGACATGGGTCGTGGTGGGCTCGAACCCACGACCATTAGCTCCAGTAAATACAGTTATATAAACCAGAATAACGAACGCCCACAAACACAGAAGTCGTCACAGAGAGTCTGCTCCTGTCGCGGTGACGTCAGTGATCCATGCGTTCCAGGTGCAACACAACTTATCTTATATTGACGTTTACATTTGATCTTAAACCCTGTGTCGATCCAGCCCAAAGTGTTGCTTCTTTTACTAACAATAACAATCTTCTGCTGAAACACAATCCCAGACCTGCAGCTTTGGTCACTTCCATCGTTCTCAGTAGAATCTGACCTGTGTCTTCTGGACCTGATCCTCAAGAAGCTACAAGTATCAACTGATGTCTCTGTTCTCATCCCCACCGCTGTCAGACTGTACAACAAGTCACTGAGCACTTCTATCCAGATTATTCTATTCTCACAAATGTCATGATTATTATTCTTATTTTGAGATTGTCACTTTAATGTTATTTTTTATTGTGAGATACTATGCAAGCTACTGTGACAACACAATCTCCCTGTGGATCAAAAAAGCTTGTCTCAGTCTTATTTTGTTCTTTCTGGAAGAGCTCGAAAACAAATGGAGAAACAAGTGCGAGAGATTCTGCCTCAGTCTTGTTTTCAGACTGACGTGTTGTCGGTTCATAGACTACAGGAAGGACTTAAAACATGACTTCAAAGAGAGTCTGAATGGATATAGATAGATATATAAATACAGGATATATACTAAACTTTTTAGTATCTTTTTGACTTGTCCAGAAAACAGCTTTGACTGGATCTGGCTTTTTTCTGAGATTTAAAATGAGCAATGATCCAAATAGATTCACATTTGACAGACTTTTACTATCTTACCATCACACCACAGCTGCATTAGCGCCACATGAGATTTTGGAAGTCAAAAATAGTATATTCAAATTAATGTAATGGCTGAGTTCCAAAGGGTCTGAGCTTTAGGAGGTGGAGCGTGTCTGTGAAGGTGGAGCTGAAGTTGGATGACTGAACTCATGACCTTAAAGGGTAATTTGGATTAACAAGACAGAGGGTCACATGACATAACAGAGGGCCGCAATTGGACCCCAGGCCTTAGTTTGGACATGTCTGCTCTAAACGCGACACAATTCTCAGGCTTAAATGTTAAAAGAGTTGGACTTTTCTCCTTTTCTTTAAGACTTTTAAAAATATTTCTGTATTGTAATGGAAACAGGTGTGTCCATATTATCACTGCGTTATTTTGTTTTTCTCCAGTTTTAAAACCATGTGACTTCAGGCCCACCCCTGACCGTGTGACCAGCACCTCTCTGTGTAAATCTGCCCCTGTTTAAAGAAGCCCAGAAGGTGTATTTTCAACTTCTTTTGTCACGTTAATAAAAGGCTTTAAAGATTATCGAGTGCCTCTGTGGTGGGACCAACCAACCACTGAAGAGCACCAAAACTTTATTTTTTAGTAACAAAGTATCTTTATTCACATCATGCATTTTTATAGACCAAGGTCAACCAATGTTCAGAGTTCAGATATTGTTCCATTCTCTCGAGACCGCGAACCAGTGTGGGCGGGTCCCAGCTCAAAAGTGGCCAAAATGACGTGCGCTGACATGCTGCAATACCACCCCGGGCCTGTGGGGGTGGACCCAGAAGAAGAATTAGCCAATGCTAACATATAGCATTGGCAGACCTCTCACAAACGTCTTTACAGGATGGTCCAAAAGTTGGCTCTTGGCCCAAAGCTCCGTTTCACATGTGTGTCAATGCTGAATTTTTTTGGTCCACTCTAGTTTAGTCGCTGTGAATTTTTGAAGTCTCGTTCAAATGAACGGAGCTCTCTCCGGCTGACGCATGCGCAGATGTGTTTTTTCACAATTTTCTTGTGGGCGGGACCACTCGCGGCCAATTTGGATTGCTCCAGTAGAGCACTATTTTTGGCCCATTAGTTAGAACGGCGCAGATAGGCGTGACTCTGTCCATTAATATATACAGTCTATGCGCCGAACACACTGGTCCACCAAAGCCTCTGACCCAACACCATCCATTCACTCACTCATTACATTCAGACCTATTGTCCATGTTTTTAGTGGTAGGGGAAACTGGAGCACCTGGAGGAAACCTATACGTAGACACAGGGAGAACATGCAAACTCCACTTTGACCGGGATTCGAGAGTGCTAACCACTCAGCCACTGTGTTTTACATCCAAGCAGTACTCTGTCAGCTCTGTTTATGGTTTTACTGAAGATAACGAGTCTGTATTAGTCCCAGCAGCACAAGGACGACGGTCACATGAATAAAAACACCTCACGTTACATATTTCACATTTTATTTCACAAACTATAAACAACAATGGAGGCGAACATTTCATACACGGTTGGCTAAAATGCTTGTGCGTCACCGGAACATGAAGGGTAGGAACCTTCCCCCTCTGCCGCAGTGCAGCATGGACACAGATCTACGTCACACTTACATCTGGTTTTGGAAGAGGAAGCAACTGTTCTCAACCAAAAGTGAAAAGGAGAAACATCTAAATGCTTCTGTGTGGACCAGAACCACAGCAGAACCACACCAGAACCACTGCGTCTTCTACCGGGACAAGTGCACACAATCCAAGAATTACCTACAAATAACTGCCCTTTGCAAAAACATGATTTGATTTGAGCAGATTCGCCTCAACATGAGCGACACCTGCTGGAGAATGATTGTATTGCAACTCCTTTTGTTCTCGGTTTAACGAGGTCTGGTCTCACACTGTCAGGAATGTTGGGTTTGAACGAGGTTTAGGGCGAAAACTACAGAAAAAGCAGTGTTTTTGAAAAAAAAACGTTTCCAACAATTTTCTCCAAACACTAAATCTTGTTAAAGGAGACATAGCATGCTTCTGTGTCCCATAAGTGATATTGTCATTCAACAAAGTCTCCATTGCTCCCCCCTCTGGCTCCTCAGACCACTGCAACAACATGGCCATTGTTTTTATTTACTTCCCGTTCGTCCTTGCTCTTCCGCTTTATCCATAGCCGGGTCGCAGGGGAAGCAGTCTCCACACAGACATTTAGACTACTTTCTTTTCTGAATCGATGACACTGATTGGGCCGAGGCCTTGGAGGTGATGCGACTTTTGTGACTAAATATACAACGATGAGGTCATGATATGTCTTCTGGATCATGTGACATCACAAGTGTTCAGAGGTGAGCTACTCTAAAGGCTGTCGTGTCATATGCACTTTGAAAAGAGCTCTCAAGAAACATCAGCACTAGTGTGTGAACGGCACAGAGGATGGCCCCGCCCACAAAGGATGGCCCCGCCCACAGAGAACGACTCCACCCACCGAGAACAACTCCCGCCGCCCACAGATAATGACTCCGCCCACAGACAATGACTCCGCCCACAGAGGATAACTCCGCCCACAGAGGATAACTCCGCCCACAGAGGATAACTCCGCCTACAGAGGATAACTCCGCCTACAGAGGATAACTCCGCCTACAGAGGATAACTCCGCCTACAGAGGATAACTCCGCCTACAGAGGATAACTCCGCCTACAGAGGATAACTCCGCCTACAGAGGATATCTCCGCCCACAGAGAGGCAGGGAGTGAACTCCATGTTTTAAGTATTATTTTGTATTTTTTGTTGTACAGCCGACAGTCCTGGATCTTATTCCCCCAACGTTTGTTTTCTCGCACTGGATTTTAAGAGTCGTTTGTTGCCGATGGAGGAGAGTCTAAGGACAGAGGAGATAATCCACATTTAACGGCATTTATGGACTTTATTAGGATTTATGGACATTGGTCTCTGTCTTGATGCGGTTTTTATCAATGCATTTCCTGTATTTGAACGGTTTGACTCTCTGATCTGTAGTTGGCGAATCGACAGCTTTGTAAAGTCCTCCTGTTGTGATTTAGGTCGATACAAGAATAAATTGAATTGAATTTTGGCCTCAATCTCGACCTAAATTATCTTAAACAGTTTCACGCACATCCCCACGGTCCTCTATGAGCGGTGCCTTTCTAAATGATCTTTAACCACAAGTTTAGACAATATTATTTACATATTAAACCTTGATTATTTTATTTGACACAGAGTTTCTGACCATTTGCTACTGTCAAGGGACAATCCTTTGCCAATCGGATAAGAAAATGGCTCACTTTTATTGATTAAATTACACAATATACTCAATTACTTTTCAAAGAGTAGAGACCCGCCCACACCCGACCATCCTGCCTCCTGATTGGACAGAATACATTCAAATCCTCAATTGACAGGTTTCTCCAACTACTCTCCATCAAAACCAATAATATATAATTTTCCAGCACTTACTTTACACTATGGTACAGAGAGCAATGCATTCTTATAAACGTGAAACAGTTTTTTAAATTACCGACATCTTTGATCTAAGTGGACAGAAATGTCATTCAATAAATAATCTAGGTCATAAATGTAAATAAATCTGTTCAGGCAAAACAAACCTACTCGAAGATGAAATCAGAACAAAGTAATTTAAGGCAGACTAAATATTTTCAGTTGAATTTGACGCAGATGGAAAGAGCCAAAGAGTGTTTTGTGAGGGTCTGTGCGGACACTAGTGAAGATGTGTGCAACATGGGACCAGTGTGTGTGTGAGTGTACGTGTGTGTGTGAGTGTGTGTGTGTGTGCGTACGTGTGTGTGTGAGTGTATGTGTGTGTGTGTGTGTGTGTGTGTGTGTGTGCGTGTGCGTACGTGTGTGTGTGAGTGTACGTGTGTACGTGTGTGTGTGTGTGTGTGTGTACGTGTGTGTGTGAGTGTGTGTGTGTGTGTGTGTGTGTGTGTGTGTGAGTGTACGTGTGTGTGTGTGTGTACATGTGTGTGTGTGTGTGTACGTGTGTACGTGTGTGCGCGCGTGTGTGTCCAGGGGCCCGGGTCCATGTGCACCTGCGCTCACAGCATGGCGGCCCCTGAGTCCCCTGAGAGAAAAGGCTCAAGAGTCCAGTGGCAGAGCCGGGGCCAGTGCGGGGCCCCTGGGCTCACACGTAGAACAGGCGCACTCTGGACGTGCTCACGTGGAGGTCGTCGTCAAAGAACTTGGTCTCGATGATGACGTTCCCTCTGCGGAAAGAGAGGCACCAGTGAGACACCAGTGAGGCACCAGTGAGGCACCAGTGAGACACCAGTGAGACACCAGTGAGACACCAGTGAGACACCAGTGAGGCACCAGTGAGGCACCAGTGAGACACCAGTGAGACACCAGTGAGACACCAGTGAGACACCAGTGAGGCACCAGTGAGGCACCAGTGAGACACCAGTGATACACCAGTGATACACCAGTGAGGCACCAGTGAGGCACCAGTGAGGCACCAGTGAGGCACCAGTGAGGCACCAGTGAGACACCAGTGAGGCACCAGTGAGGCACCAGTGAGGCACCAGTGATACACCAGTGAGACACCAGTGAGGCACCAGTGAGGCACCAGTGAGGCACCAGTGAGACACCAGTGAGGCACCAGTGAGACACCAGTGAGGCACCAGTGAGACACCAGTGAGACACCAGTGAGACACCAGTGAGACACCAGTGAGGCACCAGTGAGGCACCAGTGAGACACCAGTGAGGCACCAGTGAGACACCAGTGAGGCATCAGTGAGACACCAGTGAGACACCAGTGAGACACCAGTGAGACACCAGTGAGACACCAGTGAGGCACCAGTGAGGCACCAGTGAGACACCAGTGAGGCACCAGTGAGACACCAGTGAGGCACCAGTGAGACACCAGTGAGACACCAGTGAGACACCAGTGAGACACCAGTGAGGCACCAGTGAGGCACCAGTGAGGCACCAGTGAGGCACCAGTGAGGCACCAGTGAGACACCAGTGAGGCACCAGTGAGGCACCAGTGAGGCACCAGTGAGGCACCAGTGAGACACCAGTGAGGCACCAGTGAGACACCAGTGAGGCACCAGTGAGGCACCAGTGAGACACCAGTGAGGCACCAGTGAGGCACCAGTGAGACACCAGTGAGGCACCAGTGAGGCACCAGTGAGGCACCAGTGAGGCACCAGTGAGGCACCAGTGAGACACCAGTGAGGCACCAGTGAGGCACCAGTGAGACACCAGTGAGGCACCAGTGAGGCACCAGTGAGGCACCAGTGAGGCACCAGTGAGGCACCAGTGAGGCACCAGTGAGGCACCAGTGAGGCACCAGTGAGACACCAGTGAGACACCAGTGAGGCACCAGTGAGGCACCAGTGAGACACCAGTGAGACACCAGTGAGACACCAGTGAGACACCAGTGAGGCACCAGTGAGGCACCAGTGAGACACCAGTGAGGCACCAGTGAGACACCAGTGAGGCACCAGTGAGGCACCAGTGAGACACCAGTGAGGCACCAGTGAGACACCAGTGAGGCACCAGTGAGACACCAGTGAGGCACCAGTGAGACACCAGTGAGGCACCAGTGAGACACGAGTGAGGCACCAGTGAGGCACCAGTGAGACACCAGTGAGGCACCAGTGAGGCACCAGTGAGACACCAGTGAGACACCAGTGAGGCACCAGTGAGGCACCAGTGAGACACCAGTGAGGCACCAGTGAGGCACCAGTGAGACACCAGTGAGGCACCAGTGAGACACCAGTGAGGCACCAGTGAGGCACCAGTGAGTGACTCTGTGTTGTCTGTAACATGGTCCTGGTGTTTACTTCAGTTCATGCACAGACCATAATAAATGTCATATTGAGACTTATTTTCCTCCATGTAAAGACTTTGAATAATGAGGAACAAGAATCACAAAATATCCCAGAATCAAATCACAAAACTTTCTGTATCGCAATATGTTAAGAATCACAATAATGTTGGATCGTGGCCCAAATATTGCAATACTATCGAATCCTCACATTTTTGCCAATTCCTAACCTTATACACCTGGTCCCGCGTCTGTCTGCTTCTGCATCTGTCCGCCTGCGTCTGTCCGCCTGCGTCTGTCTGCCTGCGTCTGTCTGCCTGCGTCTGTCTGCCTGCGTCTGTCTGCCTGCTTCTGCCTGCTTCTGCCTGCTTCTGCCTGCTTCTGCCTGCTCCCGCCTGCTCCCGCCTGCTCCCGCCTGCTCCCGCCTGCTTCTGCCTGCTTCTGCCTGCGTCTGCCTGCGTCTGCCTGCGTCTGCCTGCGTCTGCCTGCTTCTGCCTGCGTCTGTCTGCCTGCGTCTGCATGCGTCTGCATGCGTCTGCCTGCGTCTGCCTGCGTCTGCCTGCGTCTGCCTGCGTCTGCCTGCGTCTGCCTGCGTCTGCCTGCGTCTGCCTGCGTCTGCCTGCTTCTGCCTGCTTCTGCCTGCTTCTGCCTGCTTCTGCCTGCTTCTGCCTGCTTCTGCCTGCTTCTGCCTGCTTCTGCCTGCGTGTTTGGGGCTTGTTTCAGGACACTCACGTTAAGACGTTGGCGGGCATCATCTGGGCCTCGGGCGCCGCTTCAATCAGAGACTGCCACGTGTTGGTGGAGTTGGGGATGACGAAGCCAAACTCAAAGAACCACTCTGATACAAAAACACACACCCATCATCTCCATGTTTTAGAACAGATTAATGAGAAAGAGGAACTAGAATGAGCAACACTTCCATCTTGTGGAAAAAAATAAAAATTACAATTTGCTTTTAGATTTAACTCAGTTTAGTTCTTTTTATAACATGGCGTGGTCTCATAGTGGAGGAATTCTGTCGAGAGATTTACGAGACAAAAGCAAACTTACACTATCAATCTTAACACAAATGTTGACGGCAAAATCATATATGATAACCCTAACTTTGACAAAAGAAAACATTATTTATGGTAACACACATTTCACTGATGCCGCAGTGGGGCGGCTGCTGCTGTAAACGGCCAAACTGTCAATGTGTCCTTAGGCAAGACACTTCACCAACATTAGAATGAGTCTATAACACTAGAGTTATGTTTACAGGCTTTGTCAAGTGTTTTAGTTTCCCAAAAGAGGGTCTGTGTTTCCCTCGGGGTAAGTAACGTTCTGCACCACAGAAGAAACCACAGCGTCATCATTTCTCTAATTCAATGTTGTCATTCTTTACCATTAAAGCTGAAAAGTGATCTGTCTTAAAGACAACAGAATGGATTTTGACTTGTTGCTATACACGGCACATCGCTGCTAACAAAAGCAGGTACTTTCTGTAAATGCATTTAAGGCATTCTCCAAAAGTCCTGTGTGCAGAAAGTTACTGCTGTGATTATGTACAAATGACTGTTTTAACTCCAGAGGACGTAACCTCAAGACTTACCTCAAGAAGAAAAGACTAACTTGACAGTTGACAACTACTGTTGGGAAGTTACAAATGTTATAAATTACATTCTATTATTTTAAACATTTGAATTTAAATTGTTAAAACTGTTAAGAGTTTCAGGACAAGATTAGTCTCACTTAAGGAAATGGGTGGAAATCCTGCTGCCACACTGGCAATTTGCATGGAGGAATGGGCCATAATACCAGCAACAGCGTAGGAAAACAAAGTATTGAGATGGACTTTTATTATCCACTAAATACTTATTTTCCACCATATTTTGCAATTACATTTTTATCAAATTAGACATTGTCATTTTCTAGAATTCTTTTTCTCATGTTTAACTACCGTATCTGTCGCACTATAAATTATAAATAATGCCTTTATTCTCATATAAAAGGTCTACCGGATTATAAGGCGCACTATTGAAAGGCGTTGTGTGCACATGAGAGTGCATAAAAACATGGTATGTAGAAAATTACAGACATCTTTAATCTGTTAAAGTGGGAGTTATTGTCAAAAGTGAAAGCACCCAATAAACGGTGAAGCTGGTTGAAACAAGGTATGACTTGGTGAATTTGGTGAGTGTTGAAACGTGCCAAATAACTTCGCAGTCGCTGTGGAACTGAACTGAAGTCTGTAAAGAAGAGAGCGGACCTTCCAAACACTGTCCTTTGAAGAAGACCTTCTGCTCCAGCCTGAACTTCTCCAGCTTCTCCGAGGACGAGAAGTTGAGCTCTCTGGACACGGCTTTGCACTTGAGGATCTTCTTGGGGACTCGGGCTGGAAACAGACACACACACACAGACACACACACACACACACACACACAGACACCACACACACACACTCACACAGACACACACAGACAAACACAGATACACACACACACAGACACACACACAGATACACACACACAGACACACACACAGACACACACCACACACACACACACACAGACACACACACAGACAGACACACACAGACAGACACACACAGACACACACAGACACACACACACCACACAGACACAGACCACACACAGACACACACAGACACACACACAGACAGACACACAGACACACACACAGACACACACCACACACACACAGACACACACAGACACACACAGACACACACACAGACACACACACACACACAGAGATACACACAGAGACACACACAGACACACACAGACACACACACACACACACACCACACAGACACAGACCACACACAGACACACACACACACAGACACACACAGACACACACACACACAGACACACACAGACACACACAGTCTCAGGTCTCTCCTTGTGTTCAAAGTTGTATGAACAAACTTGGCTCTGGTCCCGTATTATTCTTTGACGTTTCTCTTTTCTCTTCATAAACATTCCTAAAATCGTTTTTTCCCATGATTTCCCTCAAGCTTTAGTCAGAGAGCGATCTTCCTCTTTCATTCTCGAGAGGCAGCAGAACGCCTCGGCTCAATTTGATGACGCTGCAGCAGTGATTGACAGGTGGAGAAATGAAAACATACACGCCCACAAACGTGCCTGAATCAGCGAATCCCAGAAGTACCACAGTCCTGAGCTTTTCACACCGAGCTGGTATTAAATCTAAAAGAGGGGATGAGGGGATAAAAAAAATCATAAACAAATTTAAGTTTTGCGACTACTTTCATTGCGGACTTGTTCACTGTGATGATTAATGTTAAACTTTCCATTTTGGTTCCTGTTCCACCTTTACCGTAAGTAACAGCAAAAAGGGCCAACCCGCTTTTAATGTGCTTTACCGCGACGGACCCTTCTTGAGTGAAGGGCCCCGGGTTTCTATGAAGTAAGAATAAATGTCCCTGAGTCCCAGACCCTGCAGATCGGTGCCAAGACAGAGGTGAGTCAGACCAATGTTTTCTCTCGTCATCCCAGGTCTCATCTGGGCTTTGGATTTGTTCAGTTCGGTCTCATATACTTATTTTTAGCTTGTCTTTACATATCCTCTGATCTTCTGGCCTTAAAGTGCTATTGTTAAAGTGCTTATATACAGTGCTATTCACACTGAGTCTTTTAAAAGTACTTGTCGCATCCTTGCTTCAGAATGTGCCGCTCTGTCTTCTTGCCACACAGCGAGGAGAGCATGTGCACGCAGGTGTAAACGAAGATCTTCCTATTGCCACTCTCTTTTATTGTACATAATTATATCCTGCACAGACTTATATTTATAAACTTTAAAATGTTTCACGCTTCTGTCTTTTCCACAGTCCGAGTGATTCTGTCTGTGTTCTCCATCAGAGATCAATATAGTCTGTCTTATCTTATGAATCTGGACTTACTTAAAAGCTGATTTTGAAACACTGTGTTATTCTCACAATAAAAGACATTTAAGAGGAGCATAGATCTATAAGAACAGGACTACTCACTCTCTGTATACTACTGTTAGATAAATACTTAGGGTCCAATTCCGGATCGAGGACATGGAGCTAATCTCACTGGTAAAGTACCATGTGGCGCAGAACTAAAAAAGGTCTCGTTATGATTCTCAAATCATTAACGACAAAACAAGGAATAAAACCAGGATTTCTATCTTTGTGAAAAAGGTGTTGGTTATAGATTTGTTGTTGACTAAACTCTTGTCTATTCAGCTGTTATGGTCCCAGCTGGATTCGTCTGCATATCTGGCAACCTGAGTCAGGGAGAGTGGGACAGGCTGCAGTACCACTTTTGGCCACATTTTTACATACTGCTCCTTTAACTCCTGAATTTAACACAATTTATTTAGCAAATGTAGCTAAGATTCAAAATAAACTCAAATCAAAAGACTTGGGTTTGCTTAATTTGAGTCCCTTTTTTTGTTTGCACAGAAATTCAGTAATAACAAACCTGAAAATCTCCATTTTGATTTGATTGTGATAAAACACGTAGCCCGAGCACCGCGCCCTGATACACAAAGTCAGATCTGGGTCTTCTAAACTCATACAACTGTTTGGTTTGTGGAGTGTGTGTCTCACCCTCGTGCTCGACCCCGGGCACCGACAGGTCCTCCGTGCCCTGCCACAGCACCTTCCCCGTCTCAGCATCTCGTAAATTCATCCAGTTTCTGAGGCAGCAGGTTAAGTGAAAACACACGAGCAGTGAGAGCACAGACAACACAGATTTAGATTACCAAACATTTGGTAATTATATTTTCAAAATTTGTTAAAAAATTAAACTGGTAGGATATAAATTTCACTAGTTTTCACATGAATGTATTTTGGTCTTTCTTTCAGACAGAAACCACCCTTACTCGATTATCTCAGACAGAATGTGGTGGTCTGTTGGACAAACTACACGGATGTTATTTCTGAAACAAAAAAGTCAGGCCATCCCACGATGGTGAGGTTATGAGCCAGAAGCAAGTTGCTTTTACACCTAATGCTTTGTCAGCCATGGAATTAAATTGTGAGTGAAATGTGTAGTATTTGCACAGGTCTAACCCTGGTCCTGCACCTGTCCTGGTCTTGCCCTGATCAGGCCTTGATCCTGCTCTGATCCTGGGTCTGGTTCTTCCCTGGTGCTGGTCCTGCCCCGTTCCGGCCCCGTCCTAGTCCTGCCCTGGTCCTGACTTTGGCCTGAGCATGTGACTGTGGTGTGGACAGAGCTGTCACGATCAGAAGCTCTTCATGTCATCCACAGCCAGCTCCTCACCTCATAAGTGTGGAGCCGAGAGTCAGCAACAGCAGTCACAGCACAAGACCAAGACTGGACCATCCCCCACTGTGCAGACACCTGCCTAATCCTCTCTGTCCCCGGCCTTCTGCCACACTGTGGAACTGTTGTGTTGTAGAAGCCTCCAGGGTGGATACAGCCGGCGTGTACCTCCTAATGAGCCCCAGGTGAGAGGGCAGACGCCTTAAACACAAACTAATGTGCTCTCTCCGAGACCGGCACGAGTAAGAGTATGAGAGAGAGAATATGAGAGAGTATATGAGAGTGAGTATGAGAGAGTATGAGAGTGAGTATGAGAGTGAGTATGAGAGAGAGTATGAGAGAGAGTATGAGAGAGAGTATGAGAGAGAATGAGAGCGAGTATGAGAGAATAAGAGAGAGTATGAGAGAGAGTAAGAGAGAGTATGAGAGAGAGTAAGAGAGAGAGAATGAGAGCGAGTATGAGAGAGAATGAGAGCGAGTATGAGAGCGAGTACGAGAGCGAGTACGAGAGCGAGTACAAGAGCGAGTATGAGAGAGAAAATGAGAGTATGAGAGCGTCTGAGAGAGAGTACGAGAGAGTACGAGAGCGAGTACAAGAGCGAGTATGAGAGAGAAAATGAGAGAGAGTATGAGAGCGTCTGAGAGAGAGTACGAGAGAGTACGAGAGCGAGTATGAGAGAGTATGAGAGCGCCTGAGAGAGAGTATGAGAGCGAGTACGAGAGAGTATGATAGAGTATGAGAGAGAGTACGAGAGAGTGAGAGCGAGTATGAGAGTGAGTATGAGAGAGAGTACGAGAGAGAGTATGAGAGTGAGTATGAGAGAGAGTATAAGAGTGAGTATGAGAGAGAGTACGAGAGCGAGTACGAGAGAGAGTACGAGAGCGAGTACGAGAGAGAGTACGAGAGCGAGTACGAGAGAGAGTACGAGAGCGAGTACGAGAGCGAGTACGAGAGCGAGTACGAGAGCGAGTATGAGAGAGAGTACGAGAGCGAGTATGAGAGAGAGTACGAGAGCGAGTATGAGAGAGTGTACGAGAGAGAGTATGAGAGAGTGTACGAGAGAGAGTACGAGAGAGAGTACGAGAGAGTATGATAGAGTATGAGAGAGAAAATGAGAGTATGAGAGAGTATGAGAGCGTCTGAGAGAGAGTATGAGAGAGTATGAGAGAGTACGAGAGAGAGTACGAGAGAGTGTACGAGAGCGAGTAAGAGAGTATGATAGAGAGTATGAGAGTGAGAGCGAGTACGAGAGCGAGTACGAGAGCGAGTACAAGAGAGAGTATGAGAGTATGAGAGCGTCTGAGAGAGAGTACGAGAGCGAGTATGAGAGAGTACGAGAGAGAGTACGAGAGAGTGTACGAGAGCGAGTAAGAGAGTATGATAGAGAGTATGAGAGTGAGAGCGAGTACGAGAGCGAGTACGAGAGCGAGTACAAGAGAGAGTATGAGAGAGAAAATGAGAGTATGAGAGAGTATGAGAGCGTCTGAGAGAGAGTATGAGAGCGTCAGAGAGAGTACGAGAGAGAGTACGAGAGCGAGTATGAGAGAGTATGAGAGCGTCTGAGAGAGAGTATGAGAGAGAGTACGAGAGAGAGTACGAGAGAGAGTATGAGAGAGAGTACGAGAGAGAGTACGAGAGAGTATGATAGAGTATGAGTGAGCGTATGAGAGAGAGTACGAGAGAGTGTACGAGAGAGTGTACGAGAGAGTGTACGAGAGAGAGTATGAGAGAGAGTATGAGAGAGAGTACGAGAGAGAGTATGAGAGAGAGTATGAGAGAGAGTACGAGAGAGAGTACGAGAGAGTATGATAGAGTATGAGAGCGTCTGAGAGAGAGTATGAGAGTGTCTGAGAGAGAGTACGAGAGAGAGTACGAGAGCGAGTATGAGAGAGTGTACGAGAGAGAGTATGAGAGAGAGTACGAGAGCGAGTACGAGAGCGAGTACGAGAGAGAGTACGAGAGAGAGTACGAGAGAGAGTACGAGAGAGAGTACGAGAGAGAGTACGAGAGAGTATGATAGAGTATGAGAGAGAAAATGAGAGAGTATGAGAGCGTCTGAGAGTGAGTATGAGAGAGAGTATGAGAGAGTATGATAGAGTATGAGAGAGAGTATGAGAGAGAGTATGAGAGAGAGTACGAGAGAGAGTATGAGAGAGTGAGAGCGAGTATGAGAGAGAGTACGAGAGAGTGTACGAGAGAGAGTACGAGAGAGAGTACGAGAGCGAGTACGAGAGCGAGTACGAGAGCGAGTACGAGAGCGAGTACGAGAGCGAGTACGAGAGCGAGTACGAGAGCGAGTACGAGAGAGAGTACGAGAGAGAGTACGAGAGAGAGTACGAGAGCACGAGAGAGAGTACGAGAGAGAGTACGAGAGAGAGTACGAGAGAGAGAGTACGAGAGAGAGTACGAGAGAGAGTACGAGAGAGAGTACGAGAGCGAGTACGAGAGCGAGTACGAAAGCGAGTACGAGAGCGAGTACGAGAGCGAGTACGAGAGCGAGTACGAGAGCGAGTAGCGAGTACGAGAGCGAGTACGAGAGCGAGTACGAGAGCGAGTACGAGAGCGAGTACGAGAGCGAGTACGAGAGCGAGTACGAGAGCGAGTATGAGAGAGAGTACGAGAGAGAGTACGAGAGAGAGTACGAGAGAGAGTACGAGAGAGTATGAGAGAGAGTACGAGAGAGAGTACGAGAGCGAGTACGAGAGAGAGTACGAGAGAGTATGAGAGAGAGTACGAGAGCGAGTACGAGAGAGAGTACGAGAGAGAGTACGAGAGAGTATGAGAGCGAGTACGAGAGCGAGTACGAGAGCGAGTATGAGAGAGTATGAGAGCGCCTGAGAGAGAGTATGAGAGCGAGTACGAGAGAGTATGATAGAGTATGATAGAGTATGAGAGAGAGTACGAGAGAGTGAGAGCGAGTATGAGAGTGAGTATGAGAGAGAGTACGAGAGAGAGTATGAGAGTGAGTATGAGAGAGAGTATAAGAGTGAGTATGAGAGAGAGTACGAGAGCGAGTACGAGAGAGAGTACGAGAGCGAGTACGAGAGAGAGTACGAGAGCGAGTACGAGAGCGAGTACGAGAGCGAGTACGAGAGCGAGTATGAGAGAGAGTACGAGAGCGAGTATGAGAGAGAGTACGAGAGCGAGTATGAGAGAGTGTACGAGAGAGAGTATGAGAGAGTGTACGAGAGAGAGTACGAGAGAGAGTACGAGAGAGTATGATAGAGTATGAGAGAGAAAATGAGAGTATGAGAGAGTATGAGAGCGTCTGAGAGAGTATGAGAGTGTCTGAGAGAGAGTACGAGAGCGAGTATGAGAGAGTACGAGAGAGAGTACGAGAGAGTGTACGAGAGCGAGTAAGAGAGTATGATAGAGAGTATGAGAGTGAGAGCGAGTACGAGAGCGAGGACAAGAGAGAGTATGAGAGAGAAAATGAGAGAGTATGAGAGAGTATGAGAGCGTCTGAGAGAGAGTATGAGAGCGTCAGAGAGAGTACGAGAGAGAGTACGAGAGCGAGTATGAGAGAGTATGAGAGCGTCTGAGAGAGAGTATGAGAGAGAGTACGAGAGAGAGTATGAGAGAGAGTACGAGAGAGAGTACGAGAGAGTATGATAGAGTATGAGTGAGCGTATGAGAGAGAGTACGAGAGAGTGTACGAGAGAGTGTACGAGAGAGAGTATGAGAGAGAGTACGAGAGAGAGTACGAGAGAGTATGATAGAGTATGAGTGAGCGTATGAGAGAGAGTATGAGAGAGTGAGAGCGAGTATGAGAGAGAGTACGAGAGCGAGTATGAGAGAGTGTACGAGAGAGAGTATGAGAGAGAGTACGAGAGCGAGTACGAGAGAGAGTATGAGAGAGAAAATGAGAGAGTATGAGAGCGTCTGAGAGAGAGTATGAGAGTGTCTGAGAGAGAGTACGAGAGAGAGTACGAGAGCGAGTATGAGAGAGTGTACGAGAGAGAGTATGAGAGAGAGTACGAGAGCGAGTACGAGAGAGAGTACGAGAGAGAGTACGAGAGAGAGTACGAGAGAGAGTACGAGAGAGAGTACGAGAGAGAGTACGAGAGAGAGTACGAGAGAGAGTACGAGAGAGAGTATGAGAGAGAAAATGAGAGAGTATGAGAGCGTCTGAGAGAGAGTATGAGAGTGTCTGAGAGAGAGTACGAGAGAGAGTACGAGAGCGAGTATGAGAGAGTGTACGAGAGAGAGTATGAGAGAGAGTACGAGAGCAAGTACGAGAGCGAGTACGAGAGAGAGTACGAGAGAGAGTACGAGAGAGAGTACGAGAGAGAGTACGAGAGAGAGTACGAGAGAGTATGATAGAGTATGAGAGAGAAAATGACAGTGTATGAGAGCGTCTGAGAGTGAGTATGAGAGAGAGTATGAGAGCGAGTACGAGAGCGAGTACGAGAGCGAGTACGAGAGCGAGTACGAGAGAGAGTACGAGAGAGAGTACGAGAGAGAGTACGAGAGAGAGTACGAGAGAGAGTACGAGAGAGAGTACGAGAGAGAGTACGAGAGAGAAAGTACGAGAGCGAGTACGAGAGCGAGTACGAGAGAGAGTACGAGAGAGAGTACGAGAGAGAGTACGAGAGAGTATGAGAGAGAGTACGAGAGAGAGTACGAGAGAGAGTACGAGAGCGAGTACGAGACAGTATGAGAGAGAGTACGAGAGCGAGTACGAGAGAGAGTACGAGAGAGAGTACGAGAGAGTATGAGAGCGAGTACGAGAGCGAGTACGAGAGCGAGTACGAGAGAGTACGAGAGAGAGTACGAGAGCGAGTACGAGAGAGAGTACGAGAGAGCGTCTGAGAGAGAGTATGAGAGCGTCAGAGAGAGTATGAGAGAGAGTACGAGAGAGAGTATGATAGCGAGTACGAGAGCGAGTACGAGAGCGAGTACGAGAGAGAGTACGAGAGAGAGTACGAGAGAGTATGAGAGAGCGTCTGAGAGAGAGTATGAGAGAGAGTATGAGAGCGTCAGAGAGAGTATGAGAGAGTACGAGAGAGAGTACGAGAGAGAGTACGAGAGAGAGTACGAGAGAGAGTACGAGAGAGAGTACGAGAGAGAGTACGAGAGAGAGTACGAGAGAGAGTACGAGAGAGAGTACGAGAGAGAGTATGAGAGAGAGTACGAGAGAGAGTACGAGAGAGAGTACGGGAGAGAGTACGAGAGAGTTCGAGAGAGTACGAGAGAGAGTACGAGAAAGAGTACGAGAGAGAGTACGAGAGAGAGTACGAGAGCGAGTACGAGAGAGAGTACGAGAGCGAGTACGAGAGCGAGTACGAGAGAGCGTCTGAGAGAGAGTATGAGAGAGAGTATGAGAGAGAGTATGAGAGCGTCAGAGAGAGTATGAGAGTGAGTACGAGAGAGAGTACGAGAGAGAGTACGAGAGAGAGTACGAGAGAGAGTACGAGAGAGAGTACGAGAAAGAGTACGAGAAAGAGTACGAGAAAGAGTACGAGAGAGAGTACGGGAGAGAGTACGAGAGAGAGTACGAGAGAGAGTACGAGAGAGAGTACGAGAGAGAGTACGAGAGAGAGTACGAGAGAGAGTACGAGAGCGAGTAAGAGAGAGTACGAGAGAGAGTACGAGAGAGAGTACGATAGAGAGTATGAGAGCGTCTGAGAGAGCGTCTGAGAGTGAGTACGAGAGAGAGTACGAGAGCGAGTACGAGAGCGAGTACGAGAGAGAGTACGAGAGAGTGTACGAGAGCGAGTACGAGAGAGAGTATGAGAGAGTACGAGAGAGAGTACGAGAGCGAGTACGAGAAAGAGTACGAGAAAGAGTACGAGAAAGAGTACGAGAGAGTACGAGAGAGTACGAGAGAGAGTACGAGAGAGAGTACGAGAGAGAGTACGAGAGAGAGTACGAGAGAGAGTACGAGAGAGAGTACGAGAGAGAGTACGAGAGCGAGTACGAGAGCGAGTACGAGAGAGAGTACGAGAGCGAGTACGAGAGCGAGTACGAGAGAGAGTACGAGAGAGAGTACGAGAGAGAGTACGAGAGAGAGTACGAGAGAGAGTACGAGAGAGAGTACGAGAGAGAGTACGAGAGAGAGTACGAGAGAGAGTACGAGAGAGAGTACGAGAGCGAGTACGAGAGCGAGTACGAGAGAGAGTACGAGAGAGAGTACGAGAGAGAGTACGAGAGAGAGTACGAGAGAGAGTACGAGAGAGAGTACGAGAGAGAGTACGAGAGAGAGTACGAGAGCGAGTACGAGAGAGAGTACGAGAGTGAGTACGGGAGAGAGTACGAGAGAGAGTACGAGAGAGAGTACGAGAGAGAGTACGAGAGAGAGTACGAGAGAGAGTACGAGAGAGAGTACGAGAGCGAGTAAGAGAGAGTACGAGAGAGAGTACGAGAGAGAGTACGATAGAGAGTATGAGAGCGTCTGAGAGAGCGTCTGAGAGAGAGTATGAGAGAGAGTACGAGAGAGTACGAGAGAGAGTACGAGAGAGAGTACGAGAGAGTGTACGAGAGCGAGTACGAGAGAGAGTATGAGAAGAGTACGAGAGAGAGTACGAGAGCGAGTACGAGAGCGAGTACGAGAGCGAGTACGAGAGAGAGTACGAGAGAGAGTACGAGAGAGAGTACGAGAGAGAGAGAGTACGAGAGAGAGTACGAGAGAGAGTACGAGAGAGAGTACGAGAGCGAGTACGAGAGAGAGTATGAGAGTGAGTACGGGAGAGAGTACGAGAGAGAGTACGAGAGAGAGTACGAGAGAGAGTACGAGAGAGAGTACGAGAGAGAGTACGAGAGAGAGTACGAGAGCGAGTACGAGAGAGAGTATGAGAGTGAGTACGGGAGAGAGTACGAGAGAGAGTACGAGAGAGAGTACGAGAGAGAGTACGAGAGAGAGTACGAGAGAGAGTACGAGAGAGAGTACGAGAGCGAGTACGAGAGAGAGTATGAGAGTGAGTACGGGAGAGAGTACGAGAGAGAGTACGAGAGAGAGTACGAGAGAGAGTACGAGAGAGAGTACGAGAGCGAGTATGAGAGAGTACGAGAGAGAGTACGAGAGCGAGTAAGAGAGAGTGTTAAAAAGGCTGCCTTAGAGACTGTCACGCTGGCCCTTTAAAGGGGGCGGAGCTTGGACCACCGGAGACCTGCGTGCGCCCTGCATGCACAGAGCGAGAGAGAGGAGTGGAGCGAGCACATCTTACTTTGCCGTGTCTGAGTGTTTTCATAAGTTTAAGTTAAAGTTTGCAGTAGTTTGTGTGTTTAAGTCAAAGGTGTGCGTTATAAAAGTAAGTACTGTGTATGGAAATGTTTAGTTAAGTGTAGTTTCATAGTTATCAGTGTTTTTACTGCTAATTGATGCATGCGCCCATCACATGGCCATCACGTGGCTCCTCTGTTTAGAGCGATGAGCGCGGCGCTGCACTATTACATGTTTGTAGATGTGGATGTAATATGTTAGTGTGAGTTGTTAGTCTTTCCACTAATATATAATTATTGTATAGTAAGTTCAGTGTGTTATTGTGAGGATGTGAATATAATTTAGATACTGTATTAAGAGATGTAGCCAATTATCTAATATTATGTTTATTGTTTCTGTTTTAGGACCACACACACACACACCCACACATCCATACGCTCAAGCTTCAATAAATCATCATATTCAACTCCCTGACTCATCATTGGGTTCTAACCGACCCACCACAGTGTTCTGGACATTCCATTCAGCATCAGTACAGTCACTCTCCTTTTCAATTGGTCCTTCGAGCCGGATTCCAGATTGCTGTGAAGATGCAAAACCCTGAGTCAGAAGCAAGTAACCTCCGACCTGTAAGACGGACTTCAGTGCCCGCTCACCTGGCAGAGTATGATCTCAGTGGACCAGGGGCCCAGAGCCAGTTCAAGTCAGCATCCAGAGCCACGGGTCTTCCACAGAGAGAGCATTCGCCGCCAAGATCCATATCTCCTATCAGTCAGAACTTTGAAGGTATTGATGAAGTACAGGAGCCAGAGCTCTCCAGTTCTCCAGCTCGAGCCACAGGAGGACAGGAGACCACCTGCATCCCAGAGTTAAGTGCTGCCCTCATAGAGATGCGTCGGGACAATGCTGAGCTCCGTACCCAGTTCCAGAGCCTGATGACTGCATTCCAAGCCCAGTCCGCAGTCCACCAGCCTCTTTCCCAGTTACCTCGCAGTGCAGATTGTGGTAACTATGTACAACGCTCTCAGCTCCAAACCCAAGTTAATGCTCCAGCCTGCCAACCACTATATTATTCCAGCCCCCGGGATAACATAGCACAAGTTTTCTCCAGATTGGACGTCTCCCAAGTGCCTGGAGCTCTGCCTAACCCCCCGTACTATGCAGCCACTCCCCAGCAAAGTGTTCCCCGTGCAGACCTGTATGGGCAGAGATCTCAAGCTCACTCTTACAACCAAGTAAGTGATGCACAGAACGGCACTCCATATACAGGCAGTTACCCCTCATACACTCAGAATGCCTATGCGCATAACCCACAGAGGGAGCGCACATATAGGGGACCAAAGCCCACAATCCCATGCCTCACTGCACCAAACCCCAGAGAGTTCTCCAGGATGAAAGTGGCACTAGAGAACCTCCTACCGGAAGACGCCACAGAGCGGTACAAATACCAGATCCTCACAGACCACCTTAAGTGTGAGGAAGCCTCACTTGTGGCCGATTCGTACTGTAACTCTATGCAGCCATACACAGACACCATGCAGGCTCTAACCAAAATGTATGGACAGCCCCACAAACTGGCTGTGCAGCGCATCGCAGAGCTCATGGATGCTCCCAATATCCGCAGTGGGGATGTGAGTAGCTTCCGTCTCTTTGCGCTCACTGTGCGGTCTTTAGTTGGCATGTTACAGCAGCTGGGGCAGAGAGGCCAGATAGAGCTAATATGTGGCTCACATGTGTCACGCTTACTGAGTAAACTCCCGCATGACCTTAATGCTAACTTCAAGAGGTTCATTCACCCACTCAGAGTTGCCATTCCCACCCTAGTTGATTTTGCGGATTGGCTCGAATATGAGTTGGAGGTACAGGAAGACTGCATTAAGCCCACGAAGAGAGAGGATTGGTCCAATAAGAAAGCAGAGACCAAGCGCCCTCATAAATCCTCCACTAAGTCTGCATCAGTCCTTCTGAGCACAGAGAAAGCCCCAGCACCACAGTCAGCCTTAACCCCTGCACCAGACCACACAGCCAACCAACCAAAGAGTGCAGATAAGATGAGAGCTTATTGTCCCTACTGCGACCATGACAAGCACTTTTTGAATAATTGTGCCAACTTTAAAGGCCTGAGCAAAGAGCAGAAGGTGGCATGGATCAAAGTTAACAATAAGTGCTGGCGCTGTGGTCGTAATCACCAGGCTGCAAAGTGCACACTCAAAGCCCCATGTAAAACATGCAATCGGAGACACCTGTTAGTGCTGCATGAGGTCAATGAGAGGTCAGAGGAGGAACGGGTACCCGCTACACCCCCCACAGAGAGCTGTCTTGTAAACACCACCAATAAAGTTATGTACGTTGATCGCCCAGTATACAACTGTAAAGTGCTGCTGAAGATAAGTAAGGTGGTTCTGAGAAATGGAGACCAGTGCTTGGAAACATACGCTGTATTGGACGACGGCTCTGAGCGAACCATTCTCCTCCATTCGGCAGCTAAACAGTTGGGCCTCAAAGGCAGTAAAGAAGTGTTAGCCCTCCGCACCGTCAAACAAGAGGTGGAGAGGCTTCATGGAGCATCAGTGTCCTTCTCTATTTCTCCAGCTGGCAACCCAGAGAAGGTGTACGAAATCCACAACGCATTTACAGCAGAGCCGCTGAGTTTAGCAGAGCACTCCCATCCAGTCGCTGTGCTCCAGCAAAAGTACAAACATCTATCAGGTTTGCCCCTCCCCACGCTGAACAGAGCCCATCCCATGCTGCTGATTGGTGCAGACTACACGCACCTTATCACACCGATAGAGCCTGTTCGATGGGGACCCCGTGGTGGTCCAGCTGCAGTGAAGACTCTCCTTGGATGGACACTGCAGGGGCAAGCTCGGGATGTCCAGTCCGGGCCTAACGTGAGTAACTGCCTCTTTACATCTGTCCCCTCACCTTCTGAGCTGTTTGCATGTGTGGAGAAGCTGTGGCAGATGGACGTCCTTCCGTACCGCAGTGAGAAGCTGGTCGTGAGATCAAGACAAGACCAAGAGGCAGTCAAACTCCTACAAGAGCAGACAGTGAGAGTCAACATTAATGGCACAGAGCGATATGCCACACCCCTCCTCCGAGTAAAAGACATGCCCTCCCTCAAAACCACTCCAGAAGCTGTTCTGCCACTCCTGAGAGGTACAGAGAAGCTCGAGCCCCAGAACAAGCTGTTGCCTATCAGAGAGAGATTGAGAAGCTGGTAGAGGCCGGGTATGTGGTGAAGCTAACACCCAGTCAAGTGGAGAGCAGCCCAGAAACTTGGTATATACCCCACCATATGGTCCAACATAATGGGAAGAATCGTGTGGTGTATAACTGCTCATTCCAGCACCAAGGTCACAACCTAAGCCATCTCCTAACCAGCGGCGGATTCGAGCTCAGACAGTGGGCTAGTAATGATCCAAGCATTGTTCGTCACCTCCCGCCAGACCTAAGATCATCCAGTTGTGATCTGTGGCTCAGTCAAGGTCAGCTTGATGTCCCAGAGCCCGCACTAGGCCTGCATTGGAACTGTGAGTCTGACACGCTCACCTACAAACACAGAGACATTGACTGCCCAGTGGCTACCATGAGGAACATATACAGAGTGTTAGCCAGCCAGTATGATCCTCTTGGCTACATAGTGCCCTTCACCACTCGGGCCAGAGTCATTGTTCGGCACCTGTGGGAGAAGAAGAGGGATTGGGATGATCCGCAGCTTCCCAAAGAGCTCCTGGAGAAATGGCATGCGTGGGAAGAAGAGCTAGCACACCTACCCAAGATCACCCTGCCCAGGTGTTACACCACCCGCTGCATGGACCAGCCCACAAGTATCAGAGACATTCATGTATTTTGCGACGCCTCAGAACAAGCATATGGAGCTGTGGCATACTTGAGGACCCAGAATACCAATGGAGAAGTGGAGATTGCTTTCCTGGCAGCGCGCTCACGTGTTGCCCCCAAGAAGCAGCAGTCCATACCCCGCCTGGAGCTGTGCGCTGCCCTTACTGGTGCTCAACTCTGCAAAGTCATCAGCACAGAGTTAACCCTCTCCATCCGCAGCTGCACTCTATGGTCTGACTCAGCCACTGTCCTAACCTGGATGAGCTCAGATTCATGCCGCTACAAAGTCTTCGTGGGCACCCGTGTGGCCGAAATACAAGAGCTGACCGAAGCCGCCACTTGGAGATATGTGCCTTCGAAAGACAACCCAGCAGATGACATCACCCGTGGCCTCACTCTCAGAGACATTGGCAGAGGCAACAGATGGACAGGAGGTCCTCCATTTCTGAAGCAAGCTTCAAGTGACTGGCCTGAACCCCTGCCCGCAGTCCAGAGTGAACCTGAAGGTGAGCTGAAACACACTGTTTTAACCATGTCAGCTTCTACTGTTCCAGATCCGCTCCAGTACCAGACGCTGGGCAGCTACCTGGAGGCCACTGCGCGTCAGCTGCACGGGGCGGCCGGTTCCAGTGACACTCTGACGGCTGATTCCTATGCCACGGCTGAGCTCGAGATTCTACTCCAAGCCCAGAGAGAGTCGTTTCCAGAGGAGGTTTCCCAGTTGGAAGCCGGTAAACCAGTATCCAGATCCAGCCGCATTCTTCTGCTCGCTCCAGAGTTTGATGAGGCGACCGGGCTCATCAGAGTAGGAGGCCGCCTACGCCGCAATCCAGACCTGGCAGTAGATGAGGTGCACCCCATCGTCCTGGACCCCCGACACCCACTAACCCGTCTCATCATACAAGATTATGACGAAAAGCTCCAGCACCCAGGGCCAGAGAGGGTGTTTGCTGAGATCAGAAGGAGGTACTGGGTGTTACGTGGACGTGAAGCAGTGCGTCGCCACCGAGAGGCTGCGCGGAGTGCAAGAAGTGGAAAGGTCGACCACATCCCCCACGGATGGCTGACCTCCCTCCAGCCAGACTTCGCCTTTTCAAGCCTGTTTTCTACTCCACGGGCGTAGATTGCTTCGGGCCATACACCGTCAAGATCGGGCGCCGGAATGAGAAGAGGTGGGGGATACTGTTTAAATGTTTGACTACAAGAGCAGTGCATCTCGATTTGATTCCCAGTATAGACACTGACGCATTCCTTATGGCCCTGAGACGATTCATCGCCAGACGAGGAAAGCCCAAAGAGATTCTCTGTGACCAGGGAACTAACTTTCGCGGAGGAAACCGTGAGTTGCGAGAGGCGTTCCAGTCTCTTCATCCTGACCTCCAAGATCAGTTGGCCTGTCAGCAGATCACCTTTGCCTTCAACCCCCCTGGAGCACCGCATTTCGGCGGATGCTGGGAGCGTGAGATCCGCTCCCTCAAGGCCGCTCTTCGCGTCACCCTGGGAGCTCAATCAGTCACAGAGGAAGTACTACGCACCGTTTTGATTGAAGTTGAGGGGATGCTCATTTCCAAGCCCCTCGGCTACACCTCATCCGAAGTGGCAGATCCAGACCCTGTCACCCCCAACTGCCTTCTCATGGGGCGGCGGGATGCCTCACTGCCACAGGTTGTTTATGAAGGGCCAGAGACCCTCGGGCGAAGAAGATGGAGGCATAGCCAGATCCTAGCCGACCATTTCTGGCAGCATTTCCTAAGGCACTACTTGCCAGGGCTCCAAGCTCGCCAGAAGTGGCGGACTGAATCAGTGAATCTGCAAGTGGGGGAAGTGGCCATGATTGTTGACCCACAATTACCCCGGGCCCTCTGGCCTGTAGGTACAGTATCACAAGTCTTCCCTGGACCCGACGACAGGATCAGATCGGCAGAAGTCACAGTTAAAGGAAGAACCTACGTCCGGCCAGTGGCGAGGCTCGTCAGTCTCCCTGCTCTACCAAAGGACGATTGACACTTCAGCCTTTAGATGTTCGTATTCACAGGTGAATCCGGGGGCGGCTGTTAAAAAGGCTGCCTTAGAGACTGTCACGCTGGCCCTTTAAAGGGGGCGGAGCTTGGACCACCGGAGACCTGCGTGCGCCCTGCATGCACAGAGCGAGAGAGAGGAGTGGAGCGAGCACATCTTACTTTGCCGTGTCTGAGTGTTTTCATAAGTTTAAGTTAAAGTTTGCAGTAGTTTGTGTGTTTAAGTCAAAGGTGTGCGTTATAAAAGTAAGTACTGTGTATGGAAATGTTTAGTTAAGTGTAGTTTCATAGTTATCAGTGTTTTTACTGCTAATTGATGCATGCGCCCATCACATGGCCATCACGTGGCTCCTCTGTTTAGAGCGATGAGCGCGGCGCTGCACTATTACATGTTTGTAGATGTGGATGTAATATGTTAGTGTGAGTTGTTAGTCTTTCCACTAATATATAATTATTGTATAGTAAGTTCAGTGTGTTATTGTGAGGATGTGAATATAATTTAGATACTGTATTAAGAGATGTAGCCAATTATCTAATATTATGTTTATTGTTTCTGTTTTAGGACCACACACACACACACCCACACATCCATACGCTCAAGCTTCAATAAATCATCATATTCAACTCCCTGACTCATCATTGGGTTCTAACCGACCCACCACAGTGTTCTGGACATTCCATTCAGCATCAGTACAGTCACTCTCCTTTTCAGAGAGAGTACGAGAGAGAGTACGAGAGAGAGTACGATAGAGAGTATGAGAGCGTCTGAGAGAGCGTCTGAGAGAGAGTATGAGAGAGAGTACGAGAGAGAGTACGAGAGAGAGTAAGAGAGAGAGTACGAGAGAGTATGAGAGCGTCTGAGAGAGCGTCTGAGAGAGAGTATGAGAGAGTTTGAGAGAGAGTACGAGAGAGAGTATGAGAGCGTCTGAGAGAGAGTATGAGAGAGTCTGAGAGAGAGTATGAGAGCGTCTGAGAGTGAGTATGAGAGCGTCTGAGAGAGAGTATGAGAGAGTCTGAGAGAGTACGAGAGAGAGTACGAGAGAGAGTACGAGAGAGAGTACGAGAGAGAGTACGAGAGAGCGTATGAGAGAGAGTATAAGAGCGTCAGAGAGAGTATGAGAGTGAGTACGAGAGAGAGTACGAGAGAGAGTACGAGAGCTAGTACGAGAGAGAGTACGAGAGAGCGTCTGAGAGAGAGTATGAGAGAGAGTATGAGAGCGTCAAAGAGAGTATGAGAGTGAGTACGAGAGAGAGTACGAGAGAGTACGAGAGAGAGTATGAGAGAGAGTACGAGAGAGAGAGTACGAGAGCGAGTACGAGAGAGAGTACGAGAGAGAGTACGAGAGCTAGTACGAGAGAGAGTACGAGAGAGTACGAGAGAGCGTCTGAGAGAGAGTATGAGAGAGAGTATGAGAGCGTCAGAGAGAGTATGAGAGTGAGTACGAGAGAGAGTACGAGAGAGTATGAGAGAGAGTACGAGAGAGAGAGTACGAGAGCGAGTACGAGAGAGTACGAGAGCGAGTACGAGAGAGAGTACGAGAGAGTACGAGAGAGAGTATGAGAGAGAGTACGAGAGAGAGTACGAGAGAGAGAGTACGAGAGCGAGTACGAGAGCGAGTACGAGAGAGTACGAGAGCGAGTACGAGAGCGAGTACGAGAGAGAGTACGAGAGAGCGTCTGAGAGAGAGTATGAGAGCGTCAGAGAGAGTATGAGAGTGAGTACGAGAGTGAGTACGAGAGAGAGTACGAGAGAGAGTACGAGAGAGAGTACGAGAGAGAGTACGAGAGAGAGTACGAGAGATAGTACGAGAGCGAGTATGAGAGAGTACGAGAGAGAGTACGAGAGCGAGTACGAGAGAGAGTACGAGAGAGAGTACGAGAGAGTATGAGAGAGTACGAGAGAGAGTACGAGAGATAGTACGAGAGCGAGTACGAGAGAGAGTACGAGAGCGAGTACGAGAGAGAGTACGGGAGAGAGTACGGGAGAGAGTACGAGAGAGAGTACGAGAGAGAGTACGAGAGAGAGTACGAGAGAGAGTACGAGAGAGAGTATGAGAGAGTACGAGAGAGAGTACGAGAGCGAGTACGAGAGCGAGTAAGAGAGAGAGTACGAGAGCGAGTAAGAGAGAGAGTACGAGAGAGAGTACGAGAGAGAGTATGAGAGCGTCTGAGAGAGCGTCTGAGAGAGAGTATGAGAGAGTTTGAGAGAGAGTATGAGAGAGAGTATGAGAGAGAGTATGAGAGAGAGTACGAGAGAGAGTACGAGAGAGAGTATGAGAGCGTATGAGAGCGTCTGAGAGAGAGTATGAGAGAGTCTGAGAGAGAGTATGAGAGCGTCTGAGAGAGAGTATGAGAGCGTCTGAGAGAGAGTATGAGAGAGTCTGAGAGAGAGTATGAGAGAGAGTACGAGAGAGAGTACGAGAGAGAGTACGAGAGAGAGTACGAGAGAGAGTACGAGAGAGAACACGAGAGCGAGTACGAGAGAGAGTACGAGAGAGAGTACGAGAGAGAACACGAGAGCGAGTACGAGAGAGAGTACGAGAGAGAGTACGAGAGAGAGTACGAGAGAGAGTATGAGAGCGTCTGAGAGAGAGTATGAGAGAGTCTGAGAGAGAGTATGAGAGCGTCTGAGAGAGAGTATGAGAGAGTCTGAGAGAGAGTATGAGAGAGTCTGAGAGAGAGTATGAGAGAGAGTACGAGAGAAAGTACGAGAGAGAGTACGAGAGAGAGTACGAGAGAGAGTACGAGAGAGAGTACGAGAGAGAGTACAAGAGCGAGTACGAGAGAGAGTACAAGAGCGAGTACGAGAGCGAGTACGAGAGAGAGTACGAGAGAGAGTACGAGAGAGAGTACGAGAGAGAGTATATGAGAGAGTACGAGAGAGAGTATGAGAGAGAGTATGAGAGAGAGTACGAGAGAGAGTACGAGAGAGAGTATATGAGAGAGTACGAGAGAGTACGAGAGAGTACGAGAGAGAGTACGAGAGAGAGTACGAGAGAGAGTACGAGAGAGAGTACGAGAGAGAGTACGAGAGAGAGTACGAGAGAGAGTACGAGAGAGAGTATGAGAGAGAGTATGAGAGAGTATGAGACGGCAGCACAGGCCTCACTTTCCAAACACTTATTTCACTGGGATCAGAATCACAAATGGATCATATTTACTTCTGAATACGTAGGAAACTACAGAAAGTCGCTTTGAAACTGTTTTTTTTTTTAAATAGCTAATAAAGCATTCAGAATTTCACTCTGAACCAGAAAATAGTCCGAACCAAACAGACTCTACAAACGTAAACCAGAGGAAGCAGCTCATCACCAGCGGCTGTACCACCTCTGCAGCTGTGACCTAAAGTAAAGCACTTTATTACTATTGTTAGTACCTTTTAGAATTATATGTTTGTTTGTTTGTTTGGACAGATGTGTTTTTGCTGCTGGACACCTGCATTTTTCCTACGGGGATCAATAAAGTATCTATCTATCTACGCTCTAAACAAATGATTATCAAAGTATAAGTAATTCTAACATAAGCGTGAGATATAAATGGCTCTTGTATGGTTTACTCAGGCTTTTTAATGTTCCTGGACTGGCTTACAGTAAAGGGCCAATCGAACATTCTAATATTTTCACACACACAGATTTAGCATCAAGTTCAATATTTACAACATTCACAAAATTTTACTTACCCAGAAGGCTCCTTCTGCTTTATGAAATAGTTTTGCAATAATTGTCTGTTGTAATTCTAAAGCATCTCTTTATCGATCAACTGTAGATGAGTGGTTGTAAACATAGATCTTATAATTGAATCAAAAGTCATCTCTAGATTCATCATTTATCAAAACAATGGAGAGTTCCAGTCTACAATCCTACATCACTAAACCCTACTTAACTCAGTTCAATCATTCAACACTTTCATGGTGGTATAACATCTTCCCAGTAAAAAAACTACCCGTTAGCTTAATTTTAAAGCCCGCCTTAAAATGTCCCAAATGAAAACCGTCAAACGTAAAGCCATATGAGATGGGTATGTATGTTCCATACAGACTCTTTCTGTTGATACTTGTATGAACTGAAAACAGATTTTCCCTCAAATCTCATCTCATTTAAGAGTTTTTCGTACTGCATGTAACTTTCTGAAGCGCAAGCTAGTTAACTCCAATTAGCAACATTAGCAAGAGTTATCCCCAGCTTGCCACAATAGCACTTTCACAGTAACTTAATGGTACTCTGTGTAATTTTTACAGTTGCTCCAGATGAAAAAAAAAAGTTCCTGGAGGACCACAGTTATGTAAAAGAACAACTTCGAACAAGAATCTTTAAGAAAAAGAACTGTGCAAAAACCTAGAAACCGGCGTTGTAGCAGCAAACTGTCAACATCGCAAACACACGCATCGAAAGAGTTAACACAACAGGAGGCACATTGCGGTAGCTTGTACACAACACACTCACACAGACTCAACAGTAATGAGAACGAGGTAGAATCTGCAGCAGTCTCAGGAGGTTCTGACCCGATCCGAGCGCAGTCCAACTACGATGTACAAGTTTCATCCATCCATCCATCCATTCCATCCATCCATTCCATCCATGGATGGAATGGATGAATGGATGAAGCCTCCAATAAATAGATTAATGCATGAGATCTTTCAGCGGGGGCTTCGGGCAAAGTGGGGTTAAGTGTCTTGTCCAAGGACACAAAGACAGCTGTCATCAGTGGGTGTCGTGAAGTAAGTCTTGTGGTGGGCTGGAACCCACGACCTTCAGGCTCTAAGGCCAATGCTCTACCAACTGAGCCACTGTCACCCCCCCATGGCTTATTTGTCACAATAAAAAGCCAGCAGCAGCAATTAAGTTCAATTTTATTCTAAGTGGGTTAGGGTTATACTTTAAATATAGATATAGATTAACAATAGATACATCTGCAGAGAAGCAATTGATGAGAAACTGAGGTAACATTAAAATGTCTTTAGGACTTTTCCTTAAAAACTGCCTCATGTTCTGTTTGTGTGATCATGTATCACACAGATACTCACTTTGTACATGCCTTTTATTCCAAAAAAATTGAACCAGTAAGACTGATTTTAAAATAAATACATTTGTGACGCGACCCTCTGACAGTCTGTGGATGAATAATAACACCCTCTTCTGCTGCTTCTGTTCACATTACATGGAAACCACAGAAGAAAGGTTTATATATTATATTAATAAGAATTGTGTTAATTTAAAAACTTGTGTGAGAACAGATGACATTAAGTTTAGACGATACTGAACGTGATGTGAAACATCAGCTCCATGTGACCCGAGCGTTTATGTATTAGTCGGCACATGGTACAAAACACATGGTATTGATAGATATGGAGATTAACATTTTATCATTTTGTAGTTTATAGATGGTCATTATAAAAAAGCACATGTAATACTAATTTCATAATATGCCTATATTGATATTTAGATACAGCAGTGAGAAGGATTCATTTATACACACAATGGTCCTAATGATGAAACAGTTGTGTCTAAATTACTGCTTTATTTGGCCGCTGTGTTTTACACTGACACAACACGTCAGTGTCAATGGAAAAGGCAACACAGGGTTTTTGGTCAAAACGTTTGAGTAAACACGTATTTCTGCTCCATAATGTTCTTTAGAAGAAAACGACCACTTCTAGAACACCCAACAATCACTGTCATCACAAACTGGACAATACACGCTGAAATACATGCTTAAGATTTACTAATTCATATAAAGTGTATTTGTACAGAAGAAGCAGGCTTTAACTGAACCTAAAAATGACACATGTAATAAAGACCAGGAACGAAGCACAAATGCTGAAGTTTTCAGGCAGTCAAATAGTTTTTTGGGGAAATGGTCCGTTGTGTTTAGGAGTTTCTTTGCTTGTAATGTACCACAGTATAATATACAACTTTGATTAAGGGTGTTACGGCTCAAAAACGACATTCTGACTGAGATAGATATGACCTGTAACTTATCCCAGTAAGTGAAAAAGAGAGGACCCCTCACTCAGCTCTCAAATGAAGACAGTTATTGTGCTCTCATTTGTTCACAAGAATTTACTTTTACTTTGTTGTTAGGACAAACTGCAGTTTTATATAGATAAACGCTTATGTAACATTTGATGAACCAAATAATGTGGATCTAAAATGCATAAATGTGATGAAACATAACTCGTACCTATTTCTTCAGTAATATCCCCATGTGCACTATTTACATTTCTCACAACAGAGAAAAGCAATGAAAGCTGTAACTGTTCATGTATGAGCAACAGTCTTTCCACTGATGAGACTTATCCGATTTACACTCGTCCAAGTGCTAATGATGTCTTTACACAGCACTGCATCCCACCTGCCCCACACACGCACACACACACATATATATATATATATGCACCTACACAAAGTAGACATACCACAGTATAATACTGCAGAGTAACTTCTCTCCTGGAGCACGGTGCTGCAGGGTTAACATGAGCTAACGGCGCAGGGAGCATTAGCTGTGATGCTAGTCCAAGCGGCTAACCAGGCTCCTGTCCGGGCTCCATCTGTCCCAGAGCCGCACACCGCACACGGTACACCGGGGACTCACACTCAGCCTCACAGCAGAAGGATACAGTTTGAAGCCCTTCAGTATCTCCTTGGCCCTGTCTTCGTCTGAAGACATCTTCAACTCTCTGGAAACAGCAGTCTTATCAGTTGCTACCGGAATAACGGAGAGAAAGGCATAAAATACGCGTAGTTTGTTTGATTTTGCGTAAGTGCAGGTAGAAGCTGATCCGATAATGCAATGAGCTAAATATACCCCAGCACAGAGCTAGCATAGCCGCTGTTGAGTGGCCTGTCCGTGCTTCTGTCAGCCAATCACAGCACAGAGCTCAAAGGGGAGGCGGGACTAGTGTAGTAGAGACGCGTCACCAGGGCAACGGAGCTCTGCTCGCGTGACAGAGGCGCACGCACGCGCAGAGCTGATCCTGCGGAGGGGCCCGGGGCCTCTTGGTTCTGGATACATCATACATGGGTCTCTAGTTCTTGTCTTGTCACATATTTACTTTTTCAGAAAGGAAAGTGATCAAGAGAGGACCACTCTCCCTCAGCTCAAAGGGTCAAATTGTGACTCACAGGGCTCTTAATTACAAGTTTGCAAAACATGTTTTTTAGAACAGCATGTTGTGGTCTGATTTGTCCGCAACATTTTACTTTTATAAGACTTTTCAGCTGTTCTACCTGCATATAGGAATACGCTCAGGTGCAGAGAGGACTGGGTTGTGGTCGAAAGCAGAGACCTCAACAATGGGAAGGTATTGAGTAAGTAATATTGCACCCATTTAAAATAAAAAAGAGAATTTACATTAAAGTAATTTGAACAACATTATTGGTCGTGGTTCTGACAGCGCTCAGGGATTTTCCCCTTTAAAAAAGTTGTTCACAATTGTAATAGTTTTCTTTTATTTTTTCAAATAAATATATATTTATTGCTCTTCCTTAAAATGCATAAACAATGAGGAACAAATGTGCTGCTCAGGATAATCTAACACATCCACGGCTCAGGCAAAGTATCCCCAGAGGAAGATGTTGATGGTGAGCAGCAGCAGAGCGTTGATGTTACACACATGTCTCCACAGTGGCTCCTCCTTCAGGGAGAGCAGGGTACTGCAGGCCGGGTCCTCAGGCTTGCTCTGTCCTGTCAGACCACACATCCACAGGACAGCTCTGTAACACCGCCCTGTATGTGAGTCTGGATCCTGCTGAGACTCCGAGTCTGGAGCCTGGGGCCTGTCCTGAGGCTCTGAGTCTGGAGCCTGGGGCCTGTCTTGTTGAGGCTTTGAGGCACCCACCCCTGGCAGGTTGACACAGGGCTCCTGACTGTGGCGGGACCACCAGGTGAGGCGGTGCAGCTGCAGCACACACACATGTTATGAGAAGGTAAAGAGTGTGCAGAATGTGAGGGCTCTTACACAGTGGGGGGGCAGGGGGGGCGTGGCCAGGCTGACCACACAGATGACCAGAGCACTCAGAGCAAACAGGATCAGGCTGAAGTACAGGTAATGGACCTGGGACAGGACTGCAGGCCTTGTGTCCACCTCCCCACACGCTGGGACCGGGAACGAGAAATCCACCGCCATCCGGATCACACCCACCAGCAGGCCAGCCATCAGCCCCCAGAAGGCCCCCTGTACAACAGCGTTTAATCAAAGCATTTCATGGGTTGGATTCTCTGATCTGTGTGGGTGAATCAACAGTGATTGTTAAGTCCTCAGAGATGAGAAGAAGAGGAGAATATTCATCAGTAAACAATACTTTGTACTGACTGTAGCAGAGAGTCACAGACTGTATCAAGATGGTCTTTCACTAAATACACCTCTCTGTGGGACCTCTCTCTGTTGGACCTCTCTGTGGGACCTCTCTGTTGGACCTCTCTCTGTGGGACCTCTCTGTGGGACCTATCTGTGGGGCCTCTCTGTAGGACCTCTCTGTGGGACCTCTGTGTGTGTGGGACCTCTCTGTGGGGCCTCTCTCTGGGACCTCTCTGTAGGACCTCTCTGTGGGACCTCTGTGTCTGTGGGACCTATCTGTAGGACCTCTCTCTGGGACCTCTCTGTGGGACCTGTCTCTGGGACCTCTTTGTGGGACCTCTCTTCAATTCATATCTTCACAGTCGAGTTCAATATGTTATTTCACATGGTGCCCAATCAGGGAGAGCTATAATTGAAAAAGGTGTTCCACAGGGCTCCACATTAGGCCCTCTTCTTTTTCCATTTCTATTAATGATCTCCCACACGTCATTTCCAACTGCTCCATAAACATCTACGCCGATGACACCGTTATTTACAACTCAAACTCTGACATCACATCTCTCCGAAATCTTTTGCAACTCGATTTTAACTCCATACAAAACTGGATCTCAAACAAAAAAATAATTTTAAACATGAAAAAATGCACAACGCAGACACAATCAAATATTTCGGCCTCTGGTTAGACCCGGAACTTAACTTCAAACATCACATCAACTCCATCATCAAAAGAACTTACGCCACAATGGGCCCATTATTCCGATCATCTCACTACTTCACCCTCAACGTCAGAAAACGAATAATTACCCAACTGGTTCTTCCCATCATCGATTACGCTGACGTCATTTATCAAAACACATTTCCCTCCCATCTCAAACCACTCAATACACTTTTAACTGTCTCTGTAGCTTCATCCTCAAATGTCCGTATCACACACATCACTGCACTCTGTACGAGACCCTTCACTGGCTTCAGCCTCACAACAGACGTCACCTTCACTGACTTCAGCCTCACAACAGACGTCACCTTCACTGGCTTCAGCCTCACAACAGACGTCACCTTCACCGGCTTCAGCCTCACAACAGACGTCACCTTCACCGGCTTCAGCCTCACAACAGACGTCACCTTCACTGGCTTCAACCTCACAACAGACGTCACCTTCACTGGCTTCAACCTCACAACAGACGTCACCTTCACTGGCTTCAACCTCACAACAGACGTCACCTTCACCGGCTTCAGCCTCACAACAGACGTCACCTTCACTGGCTTCAGCCTCACAACAGACGTCACCTTCACCGGCTTCAGCCTCACAACAGACGTCACCTTCACTGGCTTCAGCCTCACAACAGACGTCACCTTCACCGGCTTCAGCCTCACAACAGACGTCACCTTCACCGGCTTCAACCTCACAACAGACGTCACCTTCACTGGCTTCAACCTCACAACAGACGTCACCTTCACTGGCTTCAGCCTCACAACAGACGTCACCTTCACTGGCTTCAGCCTCACAACAGACGTCACCTTCACCGGCTTCAGCCTCACAACAGACGTCACCTTCACTGGCTTCAACCTCACAACAGACGTCACCTTCACCGGCTTCAGCCTCACAACAGACGTCACCTTCACTGGCTTCAACCTCACAACAGACGTCACCTTCACTGGCTTCAGCCTCACAACAGACGTCACCTTCACTGGCTTCAACCTCACAACAGACGTCACCTTCACCGGCTTCAGCCTCACAACAGACGTCACCTTCACCGGCTTCAGCCTCACAACAGACGTCACCTTCACTGGCTTCAACCTCACAACAGACGTCACCTTCACTGGCTTCAACCTCACAACAGACGTCACCTTCACTGGCTTCAACCTCACAACAGACGTCACCTTCACCGGCTTCAGCCTCACAACAGACGTCACCTTCACTGGCTTCAACCTCACAACAGACGTCACCTTCACTGACTTCAGCCTCACAACAGTATCAAGATGGTCTTTAACTAAATACACCTCTCTGTTGGACCCTCTCTCTCTGTTGGACCTCTCTGTGGGACCTCTCTGTTGGACCTCTCTGTGGGACCTCTCTATTGGACCTCTCTGTGGGACCTGTCTGTGGGACCTCTCTGTTGGACCTCTCTGTGGGACCTCTCTGTTGGACCTCTCTGTGGGACCTCTCTATTGGACCTCTCTGTGGGACCTGTCTGTGGGACCTCTCTGTTGGACCTTTCTGTGGGACCTCTCTCTGTGGGACCTCTCTGTGGGACCTGTCTGTGGGACCTCTCTGTTGGACCTTTCTGTGGGACCTCTCTCTGTGGGACCTCTCTGTGGGACCTCTCTGTGGGACCTCTCTGTGGGACGTACCTGCTCATTGGCGCGGGGCCAGAAAATGGCCAGGAGGAACACAGCTGTAATGGGCGGGGCCAAAAAGCTGGTCACTGATTGGATGTAGTCAAAGAGCTGTCCGCTGTTGGCCGTTTGAATGACAGGGATCCACAACAGACTGATGCAGACGAGGAGGAGGATGAAGAGTCTGGAACATCATGGAAGCATCGAAAGGTGAAGAGGGAACAGGAACCAATAACACACAGGTCCTTGTGTCGCAGAAACATCAGTGCTTCAGACTTAGGTTTGTCTGATATGGATCTTTATGAAGTCGAGATGTGGAATTAAAATGTCAATTTGATGTGGCACAAAATCTAGATCCAAAATGGCTGACTTCTTTCCATCAGAGCGTCAATGCAGTTAACATGAGGACATTCTTATATATTATGTGTGGCATGTTAAGCCCTATTCGCAGGGGATTAGTTTGACCTGTGGACCTCTGGTGATTTGTGATAATCACGGAGAACGTCTGAGATCTTGCAGCGCATTCACACAGGATAAGCAATGTCTGTAAATTACTGTATTTTTACTGACATAACGGCTGCACTTGCGCGAGTCTCTCCGCTTCACGCAGTCCAGAAGTCTGGCGTCTGACCACAGCAGCCACAGAACAAACACATACATGTGGATTTTACTGCTCTACAGTTCTATGGCCCGTACTGTCTGATGTTTTACAAACGCAACCCAGTGAACACATTACACTGTCCTCTACCTCTGCATAGACCTCACAGGGACAGCAGCAGGAGCCACTCTGTGGGCGTACACAGAGGCGTTTCTCACTCGCTGCGCTAACGAATTGTACGAGGGTCTTATAGTTTAAAATCTGGAACAGTCTTCCTGAAGATGTGAGACAGGCCTCCTCTCTGACAAGGTTTAAAACCAGGTTAAAGACAGTTCTGTTTAGCTGTGCTACAACTGAGGGATTTTATATCTTTATCTTTCTTTTTAATGTACTGTGATTATTTATGATTTTAATGCTTTCTTGTTTTGTTCAGCACTTTGAGTTGCCTTGTGTATGGATTGTGCTATACAAATAAACTTGCCTTGCCTTGCCATAGTTTACTTCTAAAAAGCTTCAAAACTGCAAATCAAAATTTCTACAGCAGCCGCCGTGGTTCGAGTCGGGAAGACGCAAGATAGTGACAAAAACAAAGCAGAATGTGGAGAAGGCGGCAACAGCGATCACAATCACTGACACGCAGATTTCGCACGGGATTAGAATTATCACAGTACATGATACCGGAGGTCATTTGCGGCAGAATTATTACTTTACAATTTACAGACATGGTGCATTTGCACAGGACAAAGATCTCAGGCGTCCTCCGCGATTATCAGAAATGACCAAAGGTCCACAGGTCATACTTCCTATGAGGGCTTTAGACGACTCATCTCCTTTGTTTTCAGGAGATGAGTCGTCTAAAGCCCTCATAGGTAGTATGACCTGTGGATTACACGGTTACTGTCATGTAACTGTGTTTTCTCTTATGGTAAGTGTTACCATAAGCAACAACAAGGCGGATCAACTACATAAAACTCTCCTCAGTAAACCTCATGATTGAAATGCTGTTGCACCTTCCCACCACCATGAGCTCCCTCTCGCTGGCTCCGGGCCTCAGCCGCTGGTACAGGTCCAGGGTGAACAGGGTGGAGCTGCTGTTAAAGATGGAGGTCAGAGACGACATGAGCGCCGCTATCATCACGGCGAGCATGAGGCCGCGCAGACCTGCAACACACACAAGTGGTTATCAGTGCCCAAACAGACTCTGAAAGGAAAGTTTAGGGTCCAATCTCATTCTGATGCCTGTTACCGGGGGCTTTAGGTCTATTGTTCTATAAAAAATTTCTGTTTTATCTTGTCTGAGTCTGCTTTGCCCTAACATTGTCCGTCTGTGTTGTTTTATAATCGTTCATTCATTCAACGACTACAAAACTTTTACCTGAAAATCTGATTAAGACCTGCAATGGGCACACAGCTACAAATGTCAAATCCTTTTTGATGTAAATATTCATACTATTTGTTTTATAAGTTTGGAGTTCAAACTGGTGATTCATCAAGACTACAATTACATTCAAAAATGCTTCTCCTTCCTTCACTTTTGGTAAATGTCGCTGATGTTGTGTCGAGGCGGTATCCAATGATTATTAAGTGTTGTGTTTCAACCCTGGACCAAGCCCCGGTGATCCAAGATGGCGCCCTATTCAAATGAATGGCTGATGCTCAGTAGTTCATGGGACTTCATGGAGACCCAAATGATTAGCGGAACTCGCCTATATTTGGGCATAGTCTGGTCCTCCCGGTTCTGTGCAGTGGACGAGCTCCCATGATGCATTCCGCCAGATACGTGTGTGTGGCTCTCATGCACGTGCACAGAGGGGCTCGGCCACGCTTTGACCAATCAGAGCTGATCAGAGCAGCAGCAGAGCGGAGTCAGAGCGGGAAGGAAAGGAGCAGAGTTTGTGGCAGTAAAGTGTGGATATAAAGAAAACCGAAGGATTTAAGAAGAAAAAAAGTTCAGGACGACAAGGGACACTAAAATCCCCACAAAATCCAACCTTTATGAAAGCTGTAGGTTCTCTGTCAGGTTCTCTGTCAGCTGAGGTCGAGCTGTTTTAGTTTACATTGAGTTCCATGGGACATTTTTCTGGGAAGCCCACGTGAATTTAGTCTGGTATAGTCTGCAGTACCACAGCGCCCCCTGTGGCCATGGGTGGAACAGCTTTAAGCTAGTAATACCCTATCCAGTTATTATTATAGATCCATGACCGCATCACCCTCAACATTAGTGGATCAGCAGTGATGGCCAAGTCACCCATCAGCTCCTCCTGGGAGCTCCTCTCTCCTGCTCCATAACCAGCAAGTGCCTCTCTCTGCTTCCTCGCCATCCTGTGAATCGCTGTCCTTCTCTCCCTGCCTGTCACCCCAGTGGCTGTGAGTATTCCCCACACTGTCTGGGCAAGGAACCCTCTACAGCCAGCAGAGGGTTTTGCAGCAGATTGGTTCTTGTTGTTACTGTGGTTGGTGGCTTTTGACTCGCTCTTACAAACTGGATTGATGGTACCAAGTTTGTAAGAGCAGGTCAAAACAAATTCAATTCACTTTATTCTTGTATCGCCCTAAATCACAACAGTATATATCTCGGAGGACTTAACAAAACTGTTGAAATTTGCAAACATAGATCAGAGAATCAAACTGTTCAAACACAAGACATGCAATGAAAAAAAATACATTGGTCCATGAGGGGCAGAGACCAAAGTCCATAAACGTCAGGAGGACCGGGTAATAGGTACATAAGACTACGTAAGGGATTTCTCGTTTGTATTTTTGCCCGTAAACACATTTTTGAGATTTTTTTAATTTGGCAATTTCATATTTTAGAACGTGACATAATTCAGTAGAAAATAAATGGGAATATGTGTGTGAAACTCTCTATTTTGTGTTTTATTTTGATAATTTTCATCATAAAATTACAAGACACATACAGACCCTGCCTGGTCGTACCGCACCACAGTACAAATTACATTTTGTACTAAGGGGAGGGGTTAACACCTTCTGCAGATTGAATTGATTGGATCTGAGTTAACCTTGACGTTTTTAATGCGCCCGAGTGAGTCGTTAGCATTTAGCCTAGCTTTAGCCTAGCCATCTCCTTTGCCGCTAACGGAGCCCGTGGGGAGAAGCGCCACAATTTTTTCCAGCAATTATGTGTGCTAAGCATTCCTCTTGCTCCAGCTTCAGTTTCTTGATAGAACCAGACAGGATTACTTTACTATGACACTCTTCGCAAAACTACAAACAGCCCGTTTGGCGCAAACTCTTGACGTCACTACAACACCCGCCTCTCACACTCTCTGATTGGTCAGATGGAATTCAACCGATTGTAATTACAAACACAGGGACCAGACGTTACATGCAGAAATTGATGATTGACAGGAGTGTACGGATGGATAAGGCCAGGCTAACGATACAGACCTGAAGGCATGAGCTCAATCACCAGTTTGGGGTACGCGATGTTGGAACAGCCCACCGCAGTCCCACACACGCTCAGGCAGACCTCTGGGTCCACACAGGCCACGACATCTGCAGCAACACAAAACAACACACAACACCACACACCAAGCAGTCCACTGAAAACCAAGTACGTAAAGAAAGTACACTCAAACCACTGCTGTATTTGGTCCAGTGTGGGCGGGTCCCGGCTCCAAAAGGTCCATGAGCACGTGCGCAGACTTGCTGCAATCTCACTCCCAGGTGGTGGGGGTGCACCCAGAAATAGAATTACCCAATGCTTTTGTATTTCGCTTTCTTTCCTCTCAAAAAACGTCTTAACAGAATGGACCAAAAGCCGTTCCAGATGCTGTCGATGCTGAGGGGAGATTTTTTTTGAACAGCCTAGTTTAGTCCATAGACTATTTAAGACTATTTAGGATGCACTGTTTTTTCCTGCCTCCGTGGCCATTTCGAAAAAGCCCTATAGAAGGTGAAACTGGTGGCACACTAGTTTCAACAAAGATGGCGTTAATTCTTACAGTCTATGATTTAGCCTAAGTATAAAACCAAGTGAACGCTGCAAAAATCTGGTCGTGTCGCCATAAAATAAAGATGTCTTCTGAAACACAATCCCAGACATTTTAGTTTCATATCTACAGTACCCTTAAACACATCATGTTTCCTGTTTTCAATTAACTCTTTTATTTTTTATTTTTTTTACTTTACCGTGATATGTTTATTTTCCATCGAATCTCAAATTTACACAGGATATTTTCACAAATTAATAAATTATGATAATTAAAAAAAAATCTGTGAAATGTCTGACATCAAATGGACAATTTTACATCAGTCCAAAGCGTGTACACACATACACAGATACACAAGTGTGCGTCCTGGTACAGACCTGGGTAGAGAGCGCGGCTGATCATCCCAGGCATGACAATGAAGAACATGGGCAGCACTTTGAGGTAGGCCCCCAGTACACTGCCCCCTTTGGCGTGGGACAGAGACTTGGCCGACAGAGACCTCTGCACGATGACCTGGACAGACACACAAAGACACACACACCCACGCACCCTGTTAAGTCAGAATTGTTCCATCTAAAATCAGTAAATTACAAAAATATTGGCCTCTTTTAAGTTTTGTAAAGTTTATAACGTCCCGTCTTTTCACAATAATCTTGAATTGATAAGTAAAATGATGAGACAACACCTCTAAGCCAGAAATGGCTATAATTTCATAAGTTGTGAGTGTTGTATGATCCATCCATCCATTTTCTTCCCCTTCGTCCATTTCTGGGTCAAGGTCAGGAGGTGGCAGTCCACAGGAGCCTTGATCTTTCAGCGGGGGCTTCAGGCAAAGTGGGGTTAAGTGTCTTGCCCAAGGACACAACCACAGCAGACATCAGTGTGAGTCATGAAGTTGGTCTCGTGGTGGACTCAAACCCACGACCTTCAGGCCCAAAGGCCAATGCCTGTTGTATCACTAAAATTATTATCACACATGTAAGTCAGTAATGTTTATTTATATAGCACATGTTACAGACCCAAAGCACTTTCCAATGTTCAGAGTCAGATATTGTTCCAGTCCTTCCACACACGGTGATGACAGAAGCGAGTCCAGAACACACCTGACCATCAGCTCCAACACCATCCATTCACTCTCTCATTTACATTCAGACCTATTGTACATGTTTTTAGTGGTAGGGGAAACCGGAGCACCCGGAGGAAACCGGAGCAGACACAGGGAGAACATGCAAACTCCACTCAGAAAGGCCCTGTTCCGACCGGGATTTGAACCCTGGACCTTATTGCTGAGAAGCGAGAGTGCTAACCACTCAGCCACCGTGCCGCTTAGGACGGTCTGTGAGAAATGTAGAAGAGGAAAATATGGGATCTTGAATTACCGTAGTTACCCGAGGATAGCACAAGGGTTAAACTAGATTCAGATTCATTCAGATTTATTTGCAGTTTGCGGTAAAACCACTTTCTTGTTTAATGACATCACAGGTGGAGGGATTCCGATTGGAAATTTATGTATCAAATATAATCTCAAAATTAAGAAATTCAAAAGCACAGGATATATTTGGAATAGATACCAATCTAGTGAAGCACTATAAACTGTGTCTGTCAAAACCCATCTAATTAATGTATCGATTACACAGGCAGCTGTTCCACTGAAGTGGAAGATGGCCAAAATTACACCTATCCATAAATCGGGTGACAAAACAGACCCCGCTAACTATCGGCCCATCAGCATTCTGCCCACCATCTCAAAGATTGCTGAAAAATGGGTGGCCAAATCTATTACAGAACATCTCAACAATGGCAAAGGCCTACACCCCATGCAATTTGGGTTTAGGTCCCAGCACTCAACAGAAACAGCTGTCTGTGTATTCGTGGAAAAGGTCAAGTCTTATCTTGACAAAAATAGTTGTGTTGCAGCCGTCTTCATTGATTTTAAACGTGCATTTGACACGATCAATCATTTAAAACTCCTGTCAAGACTGTCTGAATTTAACTTCAGCGCTCATTCAGTTCAGTGGGTGAAGTCATACCTTTTAGACCGGCAGCAGTGTGTGCAAGTAGGTGACAGTAGGTCCCCCTTTCTCCATTACAACATAGGGGTTCCTCAGGGGTCAATTTTAGGCCCCTTACTTTTCTCACTGTATGTCAATGACTTACCAAGTATCTGTAAGAATGTGGACACCATAATGTATGCTGATGACACAGTTATTTTTACAAAAGCAAGAAGTGTAGAGGAGGCAGCCCTTTGTCTGTCAACAGTTCTTGATGATCTACAGAAATGGCTACGTGACTCCTATCTCTGTCTCAATGTTAAAAAAACTGTATCTATGTTCTTTTCCAAGCCAAACACAAAATTAACCCCAGCAAAGGTAAAGCTGGGAGGTGTAGCCTTAGAGAATGTAGAACAATTTAAGTATCTTGGTGTACTGCTAGATTCAAAATTGTCATTCCATAATCATGTCAAAAAAATAGTAAAAACCGTTAAATTAAATTTACATAATTTTAAACATATTCGAGCTTCCTTGACTGACCAAGCAGCACTAACTTTCCTACATTCCATGATACTGTCTCATATAGAATACTGTATCACGAGCTGGTCTTATGCTGGTATCTCAGCAATTAAACCAGTCGAGTCATGCTACAAAAGGGCACTTAAAATCCTTGACAAAATACCTCTCTCTTTCCACCACTGTCAAATCTTAGATAAATACAAGTTACTAAGTTTTTCCAATTTTAAGTTATTTAAATCTACTTGCTTGATCTACAAAGTCTTGCATGATTTGGCCCCCCCACCAATGAGTGAGTTCATCAAGCAGAAATCTGTTAGTGGCGCTGCTCGCTTGACTCGAGCGACAGTCAGAGGAGACTGTGATCTCCCACTGAGAAGGACAGCCTTCTCCCAAAATGTCCTGTCAGTCCAGGGCGTAAAGGACTGGAACAGAATACCAGCATCAGTGAGGGACTGCACCAGCCTCCCCACATTTAAGCATCAGTTAAAACTGTGGCTGAGGGACTCTCAAATATGTGAGCATGTGTAACATAAGTCTTGAATAAAGAAGCAGGGGAACAACAGGGAACAGTACAGAAGGGAATAGCGTAGTAGGGAGCAGTGCAATAGGGGGCAGTGCAATACATAGTTCCCACAGACCAATGAATGTCACATGACCTCCTCGGAGACGCCATCTTTGATGGCACGCTGCTGTGTTTGTGCATTCCATTAAACAGAAGAATGAGAATAAATGTAGATATTCAAACGCAAATTGGAAAAAAAAGGGCAACTTTTGAGCAAATAATTGTATATTAATACAATGGCACCACAGTTTAACGTGCTACGGACATGTTTTACATATTTGATCAAATTATGCAGCAAAAATTAACAAGCAATGCAAACATTTCTCAAAGCCTTTTGATTTAATACCAGTTGGAGCTCCATTTAATTATTTTAATTATATTAACAATTAATTTAATTAATGCTAATGCCACACGGACACTCTGGATTGCTGTTATTGTTTATTTCCGCGTTTTTGACCGTATGTTTTGGTGAATGGTGGGCAACTGATTTTTCCAGGCGTAAAGAGCAGTTTATTTTATGACACAGATCTTTTTACAGAAGCAATGCTGTTTGTGAACATTGTTTTAGCCCACCATAGAACTATTATTATCTATTTAATACATTTACGTTGCCCTCGAGAGCCTCGGACGCGACACCGATCCTCCTCATAATAAAGTAATCTAAATAATGAAACTCTCAAGTTACCAGATATCAGCATACACAAGTTAGTACTGAGTAAATTACGTCTGTCAACACATTATAAGATACGATACGCACCTGACACAAAGTTCTCCGAGCATATTCTTGCGTGTTTTGAGGGAGTTTCTTGCCTGTTGATCTTCGCAAGCCATAACCTCCGTGGTTGTTCTGAAAAAAGCTTAGTCTTCTCACATTCATGAAGTCTAATGATGGGTATACTGTAAAATCCAAGTTTAACGGAACCTCCGGCACGATTTGAACATCCATTGACCCAGCAGGAGATGACCATTTTCAACTTTATCACGACATTAACACGTTTCAGCTTCTTTTTCTATTGTTTTGCCCACAGCATGCCAATACAAATGGCGCCGGGTCGGCAAATCCCCGTATGTAGTGACGTCATGTGGGAACTATGTATAGGGAGCAGTGCAATAGGGAGCAGTGCAATAGGGAGCAGTGCAATAGGGGGCAGTGCAATAGGGAGCAGTGCAATAGGGGGCAGTGCAATAGGGAGCAGTGCAATAGGGAACAACAGTGCAGTAGGGAACAACAGTGCAATAGGGAATAGTGCAGTAGGGAACAGTATAATAGAGAACAGTACAGTAGGGAACGGTGCAGTAGGGAACAGTGCAATAGGATGTGTGAAATACAATGTCTCAAGTCTTTCTGTCAATTGTTGTTTACTGTCTCACATGTCTGTACGTGTTCAGCTGTCCTTGTACATGTCCTGTATATAGTCTTGTGTACACTGTATTTTTTGCATGATTTGTATTGTTACATCTTGTTTGTTTTTATGTTCTTTGTTAACATCAACCTGCCAGGAGGTCTGCAGATGGAAATTAGCCTAAGGCTATAATCTGGCATATTTACATTTGTTAAATGTTCATTAATATGCATTGTACCTCCTTTAACTAAATAAATAAATAAATAAGACTCGATGGCTGTAGAACTAATGTCAGATACAGATTCTGCCTCATAATGAAAGGTCCTCTCTGTATCACCCTCACCTGGTCCATGCACCACCTCACCTGGTCCATGCACCACCTCACCTGGTCCATGCACCACACCCAGGTGGACAGCACCGTCAGCCCAAACAGGAGTCCGGGCCAGGGCATGTCTGAACTCAGTGGCTCCCTCAGCATGTGGAAGGCGTCAGGACGGGGCAGGTGGCACGTGGCGTTTGGGACGGTCACTGAGGGCACGGCCAGAGGGTAGAGGCGCTGCAGCCCCTCGTACCAGCCCACCCGCTCAAAGGCTGTCAGGGAGTTCACAACACAGAAACACTTAATATTTTTAAAACAGTCGTTATTTCAAGTTCCAATCCATTCTAATTCCAAGCAACGGATAAGCAAAATCAAAATGGTGGGATGAATCGAATAAAGGCTTGATAAATCATGCATTAGTTTTACTTTGTACATTTAATTACATTAATTAGACTTTCGACCGATATTTTCATTTTCAGAGTTTCACTTGTAAATTATGTATGACTAAATGTTAGTAGGATTCTATATATTGTACATGGATTTCAGTTTCTGCCACAGACCATTATTAGCACTTGAATGTAATTGGAGAATCAAACTTGTCCTGAGCAGAAATGTGGAAAATGAAACTGAAAAGTCACATGTTACCGATGAACATGAGGGAGAAGGCCCCGCCCACCATGATGACCGTCTGCAGAGCATCTGTGTAGATGACTGCAGCCAGGCCTCCTGCACACACAGGCACATACATGTAACACCGACACCTGTACATACATGTAACACTGTCACCTGTACATACATGTAACACCGACACCTGTACATACATGTAACACTGACACCTGTACATACATGTAACACCGACACCTGTACATACATGTAACACTGACACCTGTACATACATGTAACACTGACACCTGTACATACATGTAACACCGACACCTGTACATACATGTAACACTGACACCTGTACATACATGTAACACCGACACCTGTACATACATGTAACACCGACACCTGTACATACATGTAACACTGACACCTGTGCATACATGTAACACTGACACCTGTACATACATGTAACACCGACACCTGTACATACATGTAACATCGACATCTGTACATACATGTAACACCGACACCTGTACATACATGTAACACCAACACCTGTACATACATGTAACACCGACACCTGTACATACATGTAACACCGACATCTGTACATACATGTAACACCGACACCTGTACATACATGTAACACCAACACCTGTACATACATGTAACACCGTCACCTGTACATACATGTAACACCGACACCTGTACATACATGTAACACTGACACCTGTACATACATGTAACACTGACACCTGTGCATACATGTAACACTGACACCTGTACATACATGTAACACCAACACCTGTACATACATGTAACATCGACATCTGTACATACATGTAACACCAACACCTGTACATACATGTAACACCAACACCTGTACATACATGTAACACCGACACCTGTACATACATGTAACACCGACATCTGTACATACATGTAACACCGACACCTGTACATACATGTAACACCAACACCTGTACATACATGTAACACCATCACCTGTACATACATGTAACACCGACACCTGTACATACATGTAACACTGACACCTGTACATACATATAACTCTGACACCTGTACATACATGAAAGACTGACACCTGTACATACATGAAAGACTGATTCCTGTACATACATGAAAGACTGACACCTGTACATACATGTAACTCTGACACCTGCACATACATGAAACACCGTCACCTGTACATACATGTAAAACCGACACCTGTACATACATGTAACACTGACACCTGTACATACATGTAACACTGTCACTTGTACATACATGAAAGACTGACACCTGTACATACATGTAACACCAACACCTGTACCTACATGTAACATCGACATCTGTACATACATGTAACACCAACACCTGTACATACATGTAACACCGACACCTGTACATACATGTAACACCGACACCTGTACATACATGTAACACCGACATCTGTACATACATGTAACACCGACACCTGTACATACATGTAACACCGACACCTGTACATACATGTAACACCATCACCTGTACATACATGTAACACCGACACCTGTACATACATGTAACACTGACACCTGTACATACATATAACTCTGACACCTGTACATACATGAAAGACTGACACCTGTACATACATGAAAGACTGATTCCTGTACATACATGAAAGACTGACACCTGTACATACATGTAACTCTGACACCTGCACATACATGAAACACCGTCACCTGTACATACATGTAAAACCGACACCTGTACATACATGTAACACTGACACCTGTACATACATGTAACACTGTCACTTGTACATACATGAAAGACTGACACCTGTACATACATGTAACTCTGACACCTGTACATAGATGAAAGACTGACACCTGTACATACATGTAACTCTGACACCTGTACATACATGTAAGACTGACACCTGTACAAACATGTAACTCTGACACCTGTACATACATGTAACTCTGACACCTGTACATACATGTAAGACTGACACCTGTACATACATGAAAGACTGACACCTGTACATACATGTAACTCTGACACCTGTACAAACATGTAACTCTGACACCTGTACATACATGTAACTCTGACACCTGTACATACATGTAAGACTGACACCTGTACATACATGAAAGACTGACACTTGTACATACATGTAACTCTGACACCTGTACATACATGTAACTCTGACACCTGTACATACATGTAACACTGATACCTGTACATACATACATGTAACACTGACACCTGTACATACATGTAACTCTGGCACCTGTACATACATGAAAGACTGACACCTGTACATACATGAAAGACTTACACCTGTACATACATGTAACACCAACATCTGTACATACATGTAACACCGACACCTGTACATACATGTAACACCAACATTTGTACATACTTGAAACACCGACACTTGTACATACATGTAACACTGACACCTGTACATACATACATGTAACACTGACACCTGTACATACATGTAACTCTGATACCTGTACATACATGAAAGACTGACACCTGTACATACATGAAAGACTGACACCTATACATACATGAAAGACTGACACCTGTACATACATGTAACTCTGACACCTGTACATACATGTAAGACTGACACCTGTACATACATGTAACTCTGACACCTGTACATACATGTAACTCTGACACCTGTACATACATGTAAGACTGACACTTGTACGTACATGAAAGACTGACACCTGTACATACATGTAACACTGACAACTGTACATACATGTAAGACTGACACCTGTACATACATGTAACTCTGACACCTGTACATACATGTAAGACTGAAACCTGTACATACATGAAAGACTGACACCTGTGCATACATGTAACTCTGACACCTGTCCATACATGTAACTCTGACACCTGTCCATACATGTAACACTGACACCTGTGCATACATGTAACTCTGACACCTGTCCATACATGTAACTCTGACACCTGTACATACATGTAAGACTGACACCTGTACGTACATGAAAGACTGACACCTGTACATACATGTGACACTGACAACTGTACATACATGTAAGACTGACACCTGTACATACATGTAACTCTGACACCTGTACATACATGTAAGACTGACACCTGTACATACATGAAAGACTGACACCTGTGCATACATGTAACTCTGACACCTGTCCATACATGTAACTCTGACACCTGTCCATACATGTAACACTGACACCTGTGCATACATGTAACTCTGACACCTGTCCATACATGTAACTCTGACACCTGTCCATACATGTAACACTGACACCTGTGCATACATGTAACTCTGACACCTGTCCATACATGTAACTCTGATACCTGTACATACATGTTGATGCAGGTGAACACTCTCAAAGATGTTGACTCCACATTATTATTGATTGGTCATTAATGTAAATGTTCAACCGTGACCTCGCTCCATGTCACATATGTCCCTGATCATGTAAAGACATGTAGTGAGTGGCAGACCTGCGATGGTGTAGGCTGCCGTGACGACCAGCAGCACGGCTGTGGACAGATACAGGTCCCACCCCAGAGACACCTGGATGAAGAGGGCCCCAGAGAAGATGTCCGTCTACACACGCACACACACACACACGCACACACATACCATTTACAATACTGTTCAAATGAATTGATGCTGACACAATTGACAAAAGCACCTAAACCTTCTGAAACCACCCAGGAAGAGCATGCACACAACTTAATTTTCTTTATTATATGACAAAAAGAACTGTGGTGATGATCCAAGACACTTTAAAGACCTTATGACGGGTTTTAAAAAAATAAATAGTGGATATCAAAATTGCATGACAATGTCAATTTGAAAGAGATTCCGGCAAAAAAAATCCTATATTTTATAAAAAAGAACGTGTTTTTCATGAATTTAAGTTGTCTATGCTCTAACCTGTGTGTGACGTCATAGCGGGTTACGCCCATGCATTGAAAACCATGGATCTATGCCACAGGACTGCCTTTTCTCTCTTCTCTCCACTGATGCCCAACACAATACTGCCCTCTACAGGTGACAATTGCTCATTACACATAAATTGTCGTTTTGAGTGTGAAGAAGAGTCCAAGGTGGGATTTGAACCCCAGTCTCTGGATTGGCAGTCCATCGACACAACCACTGGACTATCTCAGTGACAAGTATTAATATCTAGTAATTATGTCAGACTTGCTGTATACGGCCTTGTCATCTTGAATATCCGCAAAAAAAGAACGAATACCAAATTGTAAACAACTTACAGCGTTGAAACGTACCCGTTCTGACGTCACCAAGGGCTGTGAAGTTTTTTCGTTTCTAAGGGCGTTGCTATGGGGTTATTTCAATTTGGGGGGATCAGACAAAAAAAAAAAAACTGATTTTGAAACCTTTAGTAGTTCTCTTCTAATATAAAATGGTATTAAAACTGTATTTCTAAATAAATCAAACCCGTCATAAGGTCTTTAACATTCTACAACATGTATGACACTAATCAACATTCATGGACATTGGTCTCTCCTTATGAATTAAAACATATGTGTATTTTCCGTGTCTTAATGTTGATTCTCTGATTTGTGTTGGTGAATTGGTTTTGTTAAGTTTCTGAGATGATGCTGTTGTGATTTAGGGAAATACAAGAATAAATTGTATTGTATTGTGTTGTTTGAGAAGGACAATGAGCAGTTACACGTTTGTGGGGCCCTGGCACACACCAACACCATGGGACCCAAAATGCCGGACCCCACAAGTGAATTTATGTGTGTGTGTCCGTTCCATATGTTTGTGTTCCATATGTGGGTGTTCCATATGTGTGTGTTTCATATGTGTGTGTTTCATATGTGTGTGTTCCATATGTGTGTGTTCCATATGTGTGTGTTCCATATGTGTGTGTTCCATATGTGTGTGTTTCATATGTGTCTGACCGAGATCTTGGTGAAGATGTAGAGGATGAGGGACAGCACAGATATGTAGATGCGAATGCGCCTCCCTCCGAAACGACGCCACAGATACTCTGGCATTGTGAGGACCCCAGCGGAGATGTAGACTGGGATAAAGACCCAGCCCAGGGCCACGAGCACCCAGGCCGCCTGCACAACAAAACAGCGGTGGCATAACCCAAAACACTGAGTGGGAAAAACATGTCCATTTCACTGTCTCATTTTCAACTGAGTTTAAGTTAGAGTTCTAACAGGAGCTTTAAATCCCCAGCTCAGTCCCAGACACTGAACACATATTGCACATTCAGTCAGTGTGTGGATGTGTATGTGTCTGAGTGAATGTGTATGTGTATCTGTACGTGTGTATGTCTGAGTGTATGCGTGTGTATGCGACTCACGTTCCATTCGAAGCCCCCCACAGCCAGGCCCCCTGCAGCCCCCGTTCCAGCTAGGCCTATGAACAGCCCACTGCCCACGTTACTGGACATGAGAGACGCACCGATCTGCAACACAAACACGTCACAGCATTTGGTCGCCCAGAGATGAATGTAAACACTGAAGTCTGCGTGAAAAGTACATGTTCAAATCAATTCCATTTATTCTTGTATCGCCCTTAACAAAATTGTTGAATTCGCCAACACAGATTAGAGAATCAACAGTTCAACACGAGAAATCCAACAATAAAAAAACATAAAGCCGTTAATCCATAAAGGGAGAGACCAATGTCCATAAATGTATTTTCAGTTACAGTCTGTGCTGTTTAATTAAGAAATTAGAAGGGATTTTGTCTTTGTTTTGTTTTGAATGAGTCATGAACATATATTGGAAGTCAGCAAAAATAGGTAATTTTGATTTTAGATCAATAACATGATAAATGTATAAATCTGACTTAAACACAGGCCAGGCATGTCCAAACAAGGCCAAATGCCACTGTTTCGTTTTATGTTCCACCTTGCTCATATCTATTGAAGCACTTTCACAGAGTCATCCAGCCAACTTCAGCTCCACCATTATAGTCATGCTGCGTTGTAAAAATCTTTAGAATTCAGCTATTCACTGTATTTGTATATGCTGTCCTTTATTTTCCATTGTGTCCCAAAATGGCTTCAGTGTTGATAATAAATATGAGCATATCAAACCCAAATGTTCCTGGAAAGCAGTTGAAAGTAAGTGAGCAATGTTTATTTATATAGCGCATTTTTATAGACCAAGGTACAGACCCAAAGCACTTTACAATGTTCAGAGTTGTTCCAATCACTCCCAACACACGGTGATGACGGAAGCCAGACGCCGAACACACTGGACCATCAGCCCCCAGCCAACACCATCCATTCACTCTCTCATTTACATTCAGACCTATTGTACATGTTTTTAGTGGTAGGGGAAACCGGAGCACCCATAGGAAACCCATGCAGACACGGGAGAACAAGCTAACTCCACTCAGAAAGGCCCTGTTCCGACCGGGATTCGAATCCAGGACCTTCTTGTTGAGAAGCGAGAATGTTGTCGGCCCCTGGACAAGTCTTGTGAACTAAAGTGGTCCTCCAACTAAAAAGTTTGTTCTTTATTCAAACTTTTTTGCACAGGAAGTTTCAGATTTATAGGTTTTGGTGATGGATAAGAATTCACCATCATTCACCAGACATGATACAGGTCTATAATAATAATAATAATAATAATAATGCATCGGTTTTATATAGCGCTTCACATGTCATCATTCGTTCACTCCATACACTCACCGGCCACCAGGTCATGGATCGGCCCGCCAGGAAGTACCCGCCCACTGTGCTGCGATTGGCCCGTACTGAGGCCTGCCACACACATCACACCATGAGTCCTTCAGCGCTCACATCATCAGATCTCTGCCCAGTGTGCTTACCCAGATGCCCACCGCCATCACAAAGACAAAGTATGCCACCAGCACCGCTATATCTGCGACCCCCAAACTCAGGCGAGAGGCAGGGGCCGCTGTGGGGGGACTCGGGCTGCCGTCTATAGGAACAGAAGAACAACAATATATTTGAATCCGGCCTTACACGTTTGTATTGCAGATCAATAAAAGAATAAAAAACCTGGAAAACATGATCCATCTACAAGCAGTTTTATAATTTTGATGCATCTGTTTTACATAGCGATTTTTGGACACTCAAAGACGCTTCACATGTCATCATTCCTTCACTCCATGCACGGTGGTGATAGACTACTGCAGCCACAGCTGCCCTGAGGCACTCTAAGACTCATGACTCTAGGCAATCAAAGTGTTTCGGGTGACCTTGGTCTGTAAAGCACTGTATAAATAAACATTACTTACTTCTTACTTACAATGTGGGTGTCTCGCCTAAGGACACAAAGACAGTTTGGCACTTTACAGCCGCAACTGCCCCATTGTGGCACCTGGTGTTCCCAGAGGACTCCCATCACAGTACTAACCAGGCCCTGCCCTGCTTAGCTTCAGAGGTCTTTTGGTTTGAGTGTTGTTTTATTTGCCTGTGACCAAGTTGTTAAACAGTAAGTTGATGTGAGATAGGATGATGGAGTGCCTAAACATTGTGCTGCTTGCAGATAGTTGTGACCTGAGAACGGGAAATGTGAAAGATTGAATTTGACTTTCTTACAGACCTTTTTACCCGTGTTTTGAATGTGAGATTTGAGTCTATTGTGATGCCCAGACATTGTATGGTTGATGTTCATGT